ACAGAATTTTTCTTGTAGCATTATTTATTGTGGCAAATATGCTGGAACAATCTGACTGCAGGGATGGTTCAATAAATTAGTGGTCTTTTTCCTGACTTACTTGATTAAATAATATCCAAAAAAATATTCATTTATTAGCTGTTGAGGTTACTTACCACTGGGGCCTGGAATTCTGTTTGGCTACTGTCATATTCAATTTGACTACTGTCATATCTAGGCACTAATCTAGGTACTAGAAATGAATCAGTCATGAAAACAGACAAAAATCCCTTTTCCCACATTCTAGTGGGGTGGGAGACAAACGGAAAGATAAACAGTGGCTAAGTAGTTTTTAAGAATGTGATGAATGCTATAAAACAGAAGAGGAAGGGAAGTCAGGAGTGCTGGGGGCTCAGGGTGCAAGGATTTTAAATAGAGTAAGTGTTGCTGAGAAAGTGACATGTAAGTAATAAAAACCTGGTGCTGAGAGCGCAAGCCATGTGGATCTCTGGGGGAACAGTCAGTACAGGGGACAAGAGGGGCAGCCAAGGGGTGGGGGTAATAGCAAGAACAGAAATCACTTTTTAAAATAGTGTTGATATAAAGAGCAGAAAAATGAAGCAATAGCTGGAAGTAAAAAATTGGACAGAGGATTAAAAAAAAAATCTGGTAAAGTAGCATGTTAATAGTTTACAATGAAGGATATGATTGCTGAAGTAGGTGGCACAGAGGAGCGAGGAAAGACTTGCTCAAGCATGTAGGTAAATGGCACAGGGCAAGTTTTCTGTTTGGCAGGCTGTAATTGCCGCGGCGGCTGGGTGAAGATGCGGCAGGGAGGCTGCCTGCAAAGTTAGGATGGCCAGGCTTTGCAACCTCAGCAAGGCTGAGTCGCTGTGGGCTTGGCCGGGCTCGCAGGCGCGGTCTGGTGGTCCCGGCACACATAGTCTAGAGGTTCTGGCAAGTGTGACCGAGGAACGCCAGGGAGTGCCGGCTGGAGAGCTTGCTGTGGCATCGTGGTCCCTTAGAGCGCGGGTTGGTGGGCCCTGAGAAAGAGGTTTGGCCAGCGAGGTTTGGAGAGTCCCCTCAGAGCTGCCTGGTGAGAGGCTGTTTGGTGAGAGCATCTGGTGGACATGATCTGGAGTGCTTGGAGTCGCAGCTTGGCTGGCCCGGATGTCCCTGCGGGAGCGGTCCCAGGCCTGTCAGCCATAGTGTAGAGGGTCCTGTGAATGAGGTCCGTCGGGTTCGGAGGCAGCCGGTAGGGCATAGCCTGGCGGGCTATTGGATGTGGTCCAGCGGGTCGGGTCAGCTTGGTCTGGAGCACTCCAAGGTGCGCCCAGTGGAACGCCAAATACCGAAGTACCAAGGTTTTGCAGCGAGAAAGGCTTATTACGAGTCCACTGATACAGAGACGGGCGAAACACTCAAATCTGTCACATCTGTCTCCTAAGCCGTGTGGTTGGTGGAATTTTATAAGCGTGGGGTAATGAGACGTGATCTGGTTGGATCGTGCAGTGGAGGTGGTGCCGGGAGGCCAGATCTGATTGGGTCCTTCCGCGGGTTGCTGCCAGGGCTCCACCTGATTGGATCCTGCCATGCGGTGTCCGCATCTTAAATCAGTCCCGGTTCCTCTGGATGAGCACTTAGGTTCCGCCAGTGGTTTCACGCTTGGCTCATCTGGGCATGCTCAGGTTACGTGAATTTCAACTCGGAGTCCACAACCACTAAGAAACAACTCAACACTTTGTAACATAGAAGTTGAACCTGATTGGGCGGAGCAATTACAGCCCCCGCAGGTGCGGCCAGTCAGGCCTGGCGAGGGCGGGCTGGAGCGCTAGGGGTCGCTGTGTAGCCGTTTAGCGCATCCTAGGGAGTGGCTGTGGGTCTGGTGCTCTGGCCAAGCCCGCAGTCTTTCCCCAGCTCTTGTCCTGGGAGGGCGGCCAGGTAACCACTTGCTGTGGTTCTCCATAGCCCCCCTCCCCCGATGTCCTGGTCTACAGCCAGTCTTGGGCTGGGCTTTGTAGGCAGTGGGACGGCGACATGGATAGGTGTACGCCACGCCGACAGGGTCTGACCCAGGGCGCTGGAACCACACAATCCCTCCTGACCTGATTCCAAGACCCTTTTCCGTTTTCTTTTCAGGACGGGTCCTGCAAGTTACGAGGGACCTCCAGGAGCTCTTGACACAGAGGGATCACAAGAAGCATATATAGGGGTCCCGAGGTTGGGGATTGGTACTGTGGCCTGCGAGGCTGTCCAGAGATGTTGCCTGCCTTTTGGCCGCTGCGCGCCGCCCTCTATGCCTTTTACATTCTCCAACCGGTGCGCAACCTTGGGCCCCGAAAGCCCCGCCTCCTGTCCTAGACACGCCCACTATGGGCTGGGCCGTGGGGCGCTGTCCTGGCCCAAGAGCCACGTAGGCAGGGGTTCTAAGCCCTTTTGACTGAGCCAGTAGTAGAAAAGATTTTAGAAAAGATCCTGGGTGTTTTCGGTAGGGAAGACCGATCCTGGCAGACCTTTGCACGCAGGCGGAGACAGAACCGTTGTTCGGTGAGCCTGGCACTAACGGGGCAGCCCTGACTCTGTTCCTCCTTCTCATTGGCATCTTATTTTTCTTCCTATTTTCTTCTTTCTACCCTCCCGTGTACCCCCCCCCACACTTTAGATGTTTGTATAGAATCGAATCAATATTAGAATATCGAGTTCATACAACATGCTCATCATTAATCCATGGACTAACCTTCTCCTTTGCTTGAAAAAAAGAACAGTTTTTTAAAATAATGTAGTGAACTTTGTTTCTAACAAAATCGAGGATCTTGACAATAACCACTATCTATGTGTTTTTCCCTTCCCCCTTTACTTTCCACTAGAAGTAATCATTAGCTCGCATTCTTTTTTAAACATTTTTAATCCTAACTTCCAAAAATATGTATGTGTATGTAATTAACTTTATAAAAACGTGTATCATGCTTTGTAACTTTTTGGGACTTCAGTGTTAACAATAATGTTACTAAACGTTATTATATTGTTATCTTTCACTGTGGTTTATTCCTTCTAACTGCTGTAATATTTTATTGTGTGGACCTACCAACATTAATTTATCCACTCTTTTGTTGTTGGGCCTTTGGGTTGTTTCCAGGTTTTTGCTATTGTGAAGTGTGCTAGATGTTTTTTTCATGTGTTTCCTGTGTTGCATGGTTTTCTCTTGTGTGTATACCTAAGTGGAATAGCTAGGTCATAGGGTACACGCATGTTCAATTTTAGGACATAATGTCATGCTGACTTAAAAACTGTGCTAATTTACACTTCCCCTAGCAACACAGGAGAACTTTGGACCATCTCGCTTGCAGAACTTGGTCTTTAATTTTTGTCAGTAGGGTGACTGTACATGGTATAATATTGTAGCTTTGATTTGCAATTCTTTGATTATCAGTGATATTAATAATCTTTTTTCACATATTTATGGATGCACATTTTTCTTCTGTTTGATTAATCATGTCTTTATATTGGGCTATCTATGCATGTGACCTAGAATAGAATTTTTTCTTTGCATTTGATATTAAAATTCACCATAATATGACTAGGTATGAGTTTTGCCTTATCCTTTTTGGCATGTTGTATGCTATCTCAGTCAGAAAGTATTCATCATCCTTTATTTCCTGGAATTACATATTGAAATGTTTTGTTCTTACTTGTTTGCGTGTGAGTATATATAGATATTCTTGATGCCACTTCTGTGTATCTCCCAGTTTATAACTTATTTCCGTTTTCTTTAAGCTATTTTTTGATGACTATAAACTCCCAAGTTGAGTAGGTTTTCTAAGTAGTGATTTTGAGTCTTAAGAAATCTTTTTCTATCTTAAGATTTCTACCAAGATTTAAGTTTGGATTTTGATGTTTACATCTTTAATCCATTTAGAGTTAATTTTTGTATACAGTGGTAGGTGGGGATCCAGTTTTATCTTTTTCCATATGGATAACCATTTTGTTTCCAGTTCCATTTATTTAGCAGTCTCTTCTTTCCCCCATAATCTGTTACTTCTTTCTTTCTTTCTTTTTTTTTTTTTTTGAGTCTCACTTTGTTGCCCAGGCTGGAGTGCAGTGGCACGCTCCTGGCCACCACAGCCTCGACCTGCAGCAGGGCTCAGGCACTCCTTCCGCCTCAGCCTTACAAGTAATTGGAACTACCACACCTGGTTAATTTTTTGATTTATTGTAGAGACAAGGTCTCACCATGTTGCTCATGCTGGTCTCGAACCCGCAGGCTCAGGCAGTCCTCTCACCTCAGCCTTCCAAAGTGCTGGGATTATAGGCTTGAGCCACCGCACCTGGCCTGTTACTTCTTTCATAATCAAAGTTTGATGTACACATATGTCTCTGTGCTCTCTCTTCTAGTCTGTCAGTTTATTCCTATGCCAAACCCCATCCTATTGATTTTATATAGATTTATAATTCTGAATTATTATAGTAATGTCCCAAAAAAACTGAGTTGTAGCCACTCTACTTGGAGGTCTTTCTAAAGAATTATGATTTTATAGCATGTGTGATAGGAAGTATTGAAGCATTTCAGCTGCTGAATTATATATTCTGATTTATGTTTTGAAGATCATAGTGGTACAAGATGAGTGGGGCAGGGGAGTTGTGAGGAATGAGAGTACAGTGGAGGCAGGAGACCAGTTGGGCTAGTACAAGAGTACGTGGGAGAGGTGATCGTGGTTTTCATGGTAGTAGAGATGGAGAAATGTGGATGAATTTGCGATGGAGGTACAGCCAGTAGAACTTTCTGAAGCATTGAATATGGTAGACACAGGACAGGTGCCACTCAAGGTAATGTCATGTGTTTGGGTGGGGAAGCCACTCCTGAGCTGGAAAACTCTGGGGAAAGACAGTTTTGTTCATTTATCTGAAAGTTTTGTAAGCTTTGAGATCAATTTTAGTGCTAGTTTTAATTTACTTTTCCTTGGAAATAGCTGTATGATTATGTATGTTTTATGGCCCGTGCATTTTCTTTCCTTTCCTAATAGGCGACTCACTTTTGAAAAGTGCAACCAAATCTCTTCTGGAGTTCAACACGACAGTGAGCTGTAAGCAGCAAAGCTCAAACCACAGAATCCAGAGTAGCATCACATTCCTGTGTGGGAAAACCCTGGTGAGTCCACAGAGTCGCTTTATTTTTTTTTTGTTAAAAATGTCTGCCCCTTGGGTGTACTTGCTTTAGAAGTATCCCAGGAAGAATAAGTGAGCAAAATTAAAAACACAGATAAACAAACTCCAACCAAATCATCGCCATCAAGAACCAGGAAGCCAACAAATCCCAAACTCATAGTTACAACTTTTAAGTAAAACCTGGACCACATCCTGTATAAGACTGCAGTTCAAAGTGATTAATATGTTAAAACTCAGTGCACTGTTTCATGTTCTTGTCACAGGCATTATTCTTTTTTTTCTTTCTAAAACCTCTTCTCCTAGCATTTCATATTGATAGGTTTTAGGGCAACATGTTTAGTTTTTTAAAGATTTATTTTTCTTTCCTCATTTACACTAAGTTGGAGAGACCAACATCTGTTTAGGAGAAGCTCTGACCAGTGGGTGATGGGTCCCAAATTTTTCAATATTACTTGGCATATAAAGAGGACATCGTTGTGTAAAGCATTCTGTCTGTTCTTACTGTGGGCATATTGTATATGACTTGTTGACTTTAATCTTTAGTTCTTAGAAAGGGACTTGTAGTAAATAATTGTTAGCTTTGGAGAAGCAATTGGTATACAAATCCTATGAGTGTTCTTGTATCAGAGTTAAGAACCCCCTGAGAATTTAGAAAAATAAGGCTGAGTGAAACTCACGTGGCTACCAGATTGCTCTAAAACATATTTAGAATTTGAGGCTGTGACTGTTGCATCATTGACCCACAGCGTCTCATCTGAAGAACTTTGAAGATAAAGTGAGTTGTTAATTTTGGACCAACCCATCAACTGTACGTTGTACTTATTGAGATCTTAAACAAAATAATCTATTTGCAATGGCCTGAAAGATGAAGTTTTACGTTTTAGAATAAAATGTGTATCTGTGGTTTTAGCTTTAACTAATTTCCTTTAAGAATTCTGTGTTTACCATACAAGAAATAGAACCATGAAGAATTCCCTAGATTTGCACATGCGGGTATAGAGGTCAATTCCTGCTGTGGCCTGTGTCAAGCCACAATGTTTGGAGTTTGCTCTGATCATTAACAGGAGGGGCTGCCGATGAGCATCTGAGTCGAGGACAGCACTTGCTTCGTGGTCTGCTGGGTGTTCTAAGTCGGTCAGATGCAGATGGGCTCCTCACAGGGGCCTCTTACAGGGGCCTCCTCACAGGAAGCATGAGATCACATTTTTTGGCTTTGATTTCTTGGCACATGGTTAAGAGAACACTTGGAGTTTTGGAGGAGAATGGCTCGGAGGAGTACTTCCCATGAGCTTACTGTACTTGCATAGCTGGGGCAGTAGAACAGTTTTGGATCAGTTATGCTCACATTCCAACATGATTTCGTGAAGCTTTTGTCCCAGAATGTTCAGGTTTAGGAACCTCTTGGGACCTCATTTCTCTAAAACAGCTGTGTTCCCCCTTCTTACTGCTGCTTTCTTTATGTCAGTAGCATTTACCGTGTTCTAAATTTAAAAAAGAAACTTCATAATATGTAGTACAGTAACTTATTTTAATTTTATTTTTAAATAGGGAACTCCTGAATTTGTAACTGCAACAGGATGTGTGCACTACTTTGAGTGGAGGACCACTGCAGCCTGCAAGAAAGACATATTTAAAGCCAAGAAGGAGGTAACAAGAGAACTTTAAGGTTATGTGCTTAGGAAGTATCCTCTGGGGACTTCTAAGATTTGAAATATTGATTCTAACCTTTTAGGATGAAAATTGTTCTTAGTATTCAAACTCCATTTTAGCAGATAAGCCATGTGATTTAATTATTAAGACTTTTCTGGGTAGTTCTTATTTGTAGGTTAAGGGCCTTTAGAAATATAACACGATGCAATTTTGGGTCCAGATTGGAAACGGCATAGCTCACCAATAGAGAGCAAATTAGTTCTTGAATTCTGGTACTGTGCAACTCATGAACCAAGTGACATGGTCAGGCTTGTGTTTAGATTCTTCCCCTCTGCCTACAGGAGACATCTATGACCTGTAGCCTTCATCTTCCTTTGTGTCTGGCTTCCTACCTGGGGTACACCCCACTCTCAACCAGTCCTTTCAGCCTGGTTTTGTTGTTAAAGCCCACTGTCCCTCGCCTCGGCCGGGGAGTGACTTCTGGTTGCATTGTGGGTCCAGGCCAGGTGTCCCTACCCCTTAAACTCTTTGCTAGCTCACCTCAGAGACTAGCTTCTTGTTTTTGTTACTTCTACTCTTTCTCTGTTATTTGAACAGTGTTCTTTGGTCAAGCCAACCTTTATATTTATTTTGTATGGTATGATGCTTTGAAATATGTGTACATTGTGGAATGGCTAAATTAAACTAATTAACATATGCATCACTTCAACATGCCATTTTTGTTGTGAGAACACTTAATATCTATTCTTAGTGATTTTCAGGAATACAGCGCATTGTTTTTAACTAGAGTAACCGGATCTCTTGGTCATTCTTGGTGATTAGTGAAGCATCCTCCTCCCCCGCCTGGCCCGCTGGGGCTGCCCTGCTGCTGACTCTCCTTGGCCCTGGGACAAGCAGGCAACATTCCTTCTCCCACGCCCCCACCCCAGATCGTAAAGGCTGTTTCCTGTTCTTATCTCGACACCAGTCTTAGTTGATTGATTATTTTCACTTTAAAACCATTAGTTTTCTGTTTATAAGGACTGAGTTCAAAGAATCTTAGGATATTAGGAGCTAACAAGTAGTAGTAAATCAGTAACTCTTACTGGTGACCTTATGCCATGTAGTTTAAGAAAGGCAAAAAGAGATTTTTTAAAAAAATCAAATCAAGTTGTGAATAATAAATTATCACTGATTTTTCAAATATGGTAATCTTATACAGGAAAAGACAGTCTGATATGGAAATTAAAGTGACAAAATGTTATCTCCCGGAAAAGAGCGTAACAAATGCTTAGTGAAAAAAGAAAGTTTAAAGTAAAAAAGAATTAAGGCTGATATTTAGGAAGTGGTATCAAATTTACACTTTTATATTTTTGTTTTTATTCTTTTTTTAGAGATAGGGTCTTACTCTTACTCAGGCTGGAGTTCAGGGGCTTCATCATAGCTCACTGCGGCCTTGAACTCCTGGGCACAAGCAAACCTCTCAACTTAGCCTCCTAAGTAGCTGAGACTACAGGTGTTGCCATCATACTTTGGCTAATTTTCTGTGTGTGTTTGTGTATTTTTTTTTTTTTTTTTTTGGTAGAGATGGCGTCTCACTGTGTTGCTCAGGTTGGTCTTGAACTCCTGGTCTCCTCCTGACTTTGCCTTCCCAAAGTGCTGGGATTATAGGCATGAGCCACCGTGTCCAGATTTAAATTTCCCTTTAAGTTTTAAATCTCAATTTTAAAACTAAGGTTAAGCTGTTAGATGATATACTGTTAGTGGGAGAAAAAGCATCTCAAAGCTGAAATCTCTTTGGGGTATGGGGGTGAGAGTGAGTTGTCCCAAAGTGTCCAGTTGGCTGAGTCTGAGTTACTTCCTGTGGGAGGCTGGAGATTGTGACTTCAGAGAGCCTGGCCTTTTGCTCTCCTGTTAGACCTCAGACTTCTCCCAATCCCAGCGATGTTTTCCTGGGCTCTGATTCTCCAACCTGGTTATGATACCCATTTTTTAATGTTTTACCTCTTACCTCACTTCACTGAATTGATAAGTGTGTCTTCCACCACGTAGGAAGAAATTGCTTTCCCAAATAAGGAAATAACAACTTATTTTCTGTAGGTCAGAAGTCACAGACTGCAGTACCTGGGCAACATCCTGCCCTGGCCCTTTCTTTTGTATAACCCCAGAGCCAAGAATGGTTTTTACATTTTTACAGGATTGTAAAAACCAACCAACCAGCCAAGAACAAAGGGATATGCGACAGAGATCTGTGTGACCCACAAAACTCAAAATAAATCTACCATGTGGTCCTTTATAGAAAATGTGTGCTGATCTGTGTTCTAAATAGTTTTGGGGTGGGAGTAGGCGGTATAGTCTGTGTTTTTCTCAAAACAAGGGTATTTAATTTCTCATAGAAACTGATGGAAGACACCAGAGAAACATTTGTAATTTGTTTTTGCTTATCATCTGCTCAGGTGTGGCTGGCAGCTGGTGCTGTATGCATTCCATTTCATTTATGGAGAGCCCATTGTGGGCTGAGCAGTGGGAGCTTCCTTGCATTTTGGGAAGGTTCCTGCTTTTAGGGAGCCTGTGGACTAGTGGTGTGGAGGAGGACGCATTTATACTCACTAGCTCACTTCTTTCTGCCTCAGGGATAGATTAATTTGATGGAAAGAACTGAAGCGCATAATGACTGCTAAAACTGGAGTGCTGTCACCGCCAGCACATCCTCATCAAGCAGGAGCCCTTTCTTGTCTTCAGTGTGATTTGATTACACCTTATAGGCTGCGGTATGATAACTTCCAAAGATATTGGAGATTTTGTATACTTGTAAAACACTCATCATTCCTTAAAGAAGAAAAAAGCCCTGATGGGTTTCATGCCAGTGTAGTCAGGGTTTCGGCACCTTATTGATGTCTCATTTCTTTTATTTTGTTTGGTCAAATTTAGAATGATTTGCTGGACAAAGACCTGGGTAGTTTGAAACAGTCCTGTTTTTTTTTTTGAGTTGGAGCTGCGCTTTGTCACCCAGGCTGGAGTGCAGTGGCACACTGCTCACAGCCACCGTAGCCTTGGCCTGCTGGGCTCAGGCAATCCTTCTGCCTCAGCCTTCCAAGTAGCTGGAACTACAGATGTGCACCACCATACCCAGCTAATTTTTTTATTTTTTGTGTAGATACAAGGTCGCATTATGTTGCCCAGGCTGGTCTTGAACTGCCAGGCTCAAGCAATCCTCCCACCTCGGCCTCCCAAAGTGCTGGAATTACGGGTGTGAGCCACTGCACTGTATCACCAGTGCGTTTTAAAACTACCATTATGTGCTTGTTCATTGGATCCAAGTAGGGGTTTTTCTGATAATTATTTATTTAATACATTACATAAAAACATCTCCTCTCATAGCACTGGCCCACTAGTATTTGTACCAGAGTTATGTAAGTAAGATTAATATCCACACAGCATTGACCACGCTAACTCAATGTGTGGTGTGTTGCAGCCGGCAAACAGCCTCCTTCCAGGCCGCCACATTCCTAGCCTTGTACATGTCTCCATTGCCCTGTGCACTGTAGCTGGAGGTAGGAGGACGTTGCCCAGCAGCCTCGACTGCTTTTCCAATGCACACTCCAGCCCTGTGCAGCAGGGAGCTGGCAGGAAGGCGCTGGCTGCCCTGAGTGGGCTTCCTGTAGATCTTGCCGATGTGGAGTCCTCCAGGTGTCTTGGGAAAATAGAACCAGTTTCAGAACCAGGACTTCTGTCAGGAGTGGCCCATCATTCTCTCTTGCTGTGAGCTGTCTTGTTCCCTTTTCCAGTACAGGCTTTCTTTTTGCTGGCGAAAGAGCTGTTCTTGTCTCAAATCCCTAGTCAGCCAACTCACTGCCTTCTCGAGTTAATGTTTTTGGATGATCCCGCTGTGAGATGACAGGCTTAAGATTTGTGGACTTGGATACTTGTGGTTGCTTTTCACTGCAGCCCAGTTGGAGTCTGCGGTAATAACTTTCTTTTATTTTAATCGTCTTTCTGCGTGGATGTGCCATAGGCTCAGGCTCCTTGTGCTAGTGCCCTCTGAGGACTAGCGACTCCAGCCCCCTCTGTTATCAGCGGAATCGCTCATGTGTCTGAGAAGCATTTTAGGCGAGGGGGGATTTTGTTTTATGGGTATGGTTAAAATGAGTTCAGGCGCCCGTGAGGCTGTGAGGAGGTGTCAGTCACTTGATTTATTCCGTTAGCTCTTCATGAATCTCTGGAAACAGGACTGGGGAAAGTGGTTAGTGGGTTAGAGCATTCCTGCAGACTTGATAGCGTCTTTCTAAGAAAAATTTGAAAGTTAAATATTAAGCAGTTACTTTTATAAATAGACTTGCCTGTGAATTGCTTCACTCTAAAAGATAAAAATTTAGGGATTTTATCCATGGAAAGCAATACTTTGAACTGATTGCAGAGAGCATGAGTTTTTAGACTGTTCTTTAGTAGGGACAGTAAAAATGATGTCAGTATGTTATTTTGGAAATAAAATTTATGGGGGCGTTTTAAGTAAACTCATGGAAGTAGATGGTGTTTACTTGGTGATCAGAGCCTTTTTTATTCTTGGGTACATCTTTGGGCTTCAGAAATGGGCAGAACTCTTAAACACAGGGTCTGACTGGCTGTGATGATGGGTTTTTGACATTTTGAAAATAAAAAGCATGAGTTCATAAGGATGAGTGGGTGGTCATAAGTTAGACCTAAGTAAGGATGGATTGAGATGCCCAGAGGAGGAATTCATCTTCAGATTTATTGAGCAGGTATTGACTGGGCTCCTTCTGTGTTCTGGGTGTTGTCCTAAGACTTGGTTAGGGCTGCTGCAGTGACAAAGCCCTGTCCTGAAGGAGACTGCATTCTAGTGGGAGGACACTGACAGGGCAGCAGGTAGCACTGCCTGGCATTTCCATTGCAGGGCTGTGAACAAAACTAAAGTTAGCTAAGGGGGGCAGAGAGAGGGGGAGAGTTTAAAGATGTCAGACAAAGCCTTGGTAAGGCTGATGTTTTGTCTGAGACCTGAATAAAGTGAAGGAGAGAGCTGGGAGGATATATCCAGGGTCACCAGTCACCTATTCCAGCTAGAGGGAACACTGAGTTTCATGGGACAGAACCATGTCAGGAGGTCAGCATGGAGTGAGAGGAGCGTGACAGGCAAGAGTGATGTCATGAATTTCCTTGTCCGTGTAATGGGAAGGTTCTTTGAGTAGGGAGCATTATGGCTTGATTTAATCTTAAAAGGATCGATTCTGTGATTGTGGAGACGTGGCCTGAGGGGCAGGAGAGCATCACAGCTGGAATTGGGGGGCCTTTAAGAGACTATCACAAGTATGAGATGATAGTGGCTTGGACAGGGTGGCCATGGTGGAGGTGATGAGAAGGGAGTGGATCTAGGGTTTAGTCGGGAGTGAGAACTGGCAGAATTTGCTCATGTTTGGATGTGACTGTGAGAGAACGGAGGCGTTTTGGTCTGAGCAGCTGTTTGAGTGATGGTGCCAATGACTGATGGGAACTCTGGAGTAAAAGCAGATTTCAGGGGAGAAATCAAAAGTTCATTTTAGATATGTTAAATTTGAGATGCTTTAGTATATCCAATAATGGTGGTAAACAACAGCAACAAATAACACTTAAAAAAATGTTTTTTGGGCCTGTTGCCCAGGCCAGAGCTCAGTGGCATGCTGACGACCACTGCAGCGTCAACCTGCTGGGCTCCAGCGATCCTTCTGCCTCAGCTGCTACAGGCGCTATAAGTGCGCACTACTATACCCGGCTAATTTTTGATTTATTGTAGAGGCGAGGTCTTGCAAACTTGCCTGGGCTGGTCTCAAACCTGCGATCTCAGGCAATCCACTCACCTCAGCCTCCCAAAATGCTGGAATTACAGGCTGAGCCACCGAGCCCAACCCACTTAAAATTTAAAAAAAAATTTTTAGTTATCTCTTTATTTATCTAAAAATAAGAGACGGGTCTTGCTTTGTTGCCCATGCTGGTCTCGAACTCCTGGGCTCAAGTAATCCTCCCACTTTGGCCTCCCCACAGGCATGAGTCACCACTGTGCCTGGCCTATTTTTTATTTTTTAATTTTTTGAGAAAGTGTTGTCATTTTTGAGACACTGTCACCTAGGCTGCAGTGCAGTGGTTTCATCATAGCTCACTGTAGCTTCAACTTCTGGGCTCAAGTGATCCCCATGCCTCAGCATCCTGAGTAGCTGGGACTATAGGTGTGTGCCACCACATGTGGGTAATTTTCAAATTTTTTGTCAAGACAAGGTCTGGCTATGTTGCCCAGGCTGCTCTCGGAATTCCTGACCTCCAGTGATCCACTTGCCTCGGCCTCCCAAACAAATAACACTTACATCAACCCGCCAGGAAATGTGCCATGAGTTTTACGTATATTAGCTTACTCAGTCCTTAAAGCAACCCTTTGAGGAAATTACTGTCATTTTTCCAGCTTGACGGGTGAAGAAACTAAGGCAGAGAGGTTACATCCACTCATGTTGATGCTGGGTATCATCAGGGACATCAGAGTTTGAACCCAAGCATCCTGTCTCCAGAGTCTGTGCTCATCACACACAGAGCTTTCCCTGTTGTTGGCTGTGAAAGTCTGGAGTTACAGACTAGGAGAAAGGTCAAGGTTAGAGACAAGGATTTGGGAACCACTGGAAAGTAAAACTGTGCACGAAGTCGCCGGGGGAATGCAAGTGGATGGGGAAGAGATGTAAGCCGTGGCGCAGTCTGCATTTAGTCAGTCAGAAGCACAATGATAAATGTGTCCAGGAGGCTGAGAAAGGGCGGGCAGTGGGGCAGAAGAAAACCAGGGGCCCTGGGTGGAAACCCCATGAAGGCAGGTTTCAGGAGTGAGGAGTGGTCAGTGGCAGCCAGTGCCGTGTGAGACCACGTAGGGCAAGGCCAGGGCAGGCAGCAAGGAGGTTGTGGGTGACCTGGTAGGCAGGGTTCTCCTTTAGTGGGGGACAGCAACCTGACGCAACTGTGCTCAGGGGAGAGTCGGGAAGAGAGGAGACCCTGTGTTGGGACCGTTAAGGGAATTTGCTACAAATTGCAGAGACACAGGATGACAGCAGCAGGGGATGCAGGGACAAGGGAGGACATTTGGAGGTGGTAGACAATGTAACACGTGAGGGAGTTGACCCACCAGAGAGGCCAGAGCTGGAGATGTGGATGAGAGTGAGGGTTGCAGAAGCTCAGCCTCTGAGGAGGACAGAAGAGATGCTGCTGACTTTGGAGGGGACCTGATGTGTTTCATGACCTTTGCTTTGTTTCTTTTGTTGCCAGGGCACAGTATGGTCTGATAGACCCCAAGGAACAGAGACCAGGCTTGTAGATGTTGGCCACAGGCTTTTCTGAGCCACTGGTCCCAAGATGTGTGTTTTAGGCTCACCATTCTCTTCATCTCTTCCAGGTGCCATGCTATGCATTCGATGCAGAGCTGAGGAAGCATGACTTAAACCCGCTGATCAAGCTCAGCGGTGGCTACTTGGTGGATGACTCTGATCCGGACACTTCTCTCTTCATCAATGTTTGTAGAGACATAGGTAGGAGTTTTTGGGGGGAGGGGGTGATGTGGCGCTGGAGTTTTCTTACAAGACTTCAGTATCTTTGCTCTTCTGCCCTTATTTCTGTGTGGACATCTGTCTTACTGAGTGGGTCCTCAAGGAAGCTTTTCCTTGATGTTCTCTTGGCACCTCCCCACTCCCCAGAAGATCCCATGCTTCCTCCGGCCCCTGCAAACTCCGTCCAAATGGTTGGTCCGTTCCATGGTTCTTTCTGCCTGACACTTTGGGCTTCAGGATTCCATGATGAGGGAGGGTTGGTCTAGCCCCCTGTGTGTGCCTGAATTCCTCAGCTTACGGGCTGGTAAAAGGAACAAGGGGTGACAGAGGCCTCAGGCCCTTGTTCAGTGGTGTGTAATTTGGCCCCCGCTGGCATCTTCCCTGGTGCTCTCTGTATGTACTAGAACTGGTGGGAGGAGCTTGAGATTTAGTTGGAATCTTTGCTAAATTAACTAAAGGCTATAACAATGCATGATAGCTATCTAGAAAGGGCCACAGAAAGTTTTAAGTCTTTAAGCCAGCCTTTAGCTGGTTTTTACTGAGCTAGGTTTTAGAAACCAGTTTCTCTCAAGGGCTGTGAATTGCTAGTCCTGCAGGCCAGGACTTGTCTTTTTGGAGTGCTAGGTAGGAGTGCATTTTGCTAAATAACTTTAACTAATTTAGTTGAGTAGTTAATAAAAAAGGTCATGTTTAGTATTTTCCTTATGTTTCTATTTCTTACATAGTACATAACGCCTTAGAAAGTTGACCTTAGAACAGTTGGGAGAAAATTTTAAAAAATAAACTCAGTACATGGGGATATTGCTGGGTGGTAAATAAGTAATTAATTTACAATTGTTCATTAAATTGTACATATACATAATGTACTGTCTTGTTTGTGTATTATTTCTAAACAGTTAAAAATGGTAAATGTATCCCACACATGGCTCTCCAGAAGTGACAAGTGATAATTTTAGATTTTTTGTGCGTCAGGTTATTACATCATTCTTTTGTTCTCCAAGGACAGCTTTTATTGTTCTTTTGGAAAAAGGCTGATAAAGTCTTTGTTTTACATGGGTCTGTAAATTAACTTGACTACAAAGCTGTAGAAGTCTCATCGATTATTGCTGTTTTGATTTAGAAAACATTTGTATTTCTGGTCTTTTATCATTTTGTGGATTATCTGAATTCATTGGATCTTTTCTTTTCTTTCTTTCATTTTTTTCTTTTTCTTAGAGTCAGTGTCTAAGTCTTGTTACCCAGGCTTAAGTGCAGTAGCACTATCATGGCTTATTGCAGCCCTGACCTTCTGAGCTCAGGCAATCCTTCCACCTCAGTCTCCTGAGTAGTTGGGACTACAGGTGTGTGCTACCATGCCCAGCTAACTTTTAAACATTTTTTTGTAGAGGTGATGTCTTGCTATGTTGCCCAGGCTGGTCTCAAACTCCTGGGCTCAAGCAATCCTCCTGCTTTGGCCTCCCAAAGTGCTGGGATTGTAGGCATGAGCCATGGTGCCTGGCCTATATTTTCTTTTTCTTTTTCCTTTTTTTTTTGAGTTGGAGTCTCACTTTTGTCACCCAGACTGGAGTGCAGTGGCATGCTCACTGCCACTGCAGCCTTGACCTGCTGGCTTAAGCCATCCTTCAGCCTCAGCCTTCCAAGTAGCTGGAACTACAGCGCACGCCACCTCACCTGGCTAGATTTTTTATGATTTATTGTAGAGACGAGGTCTCACCAAGTTACCCAAGCTGATTTTGAGCCCCTGGCTCAGGCAGTACTCTCACCTCAGCCTCTCAAAGTGCTGGAATTATAGGCCGAGCCACTGCACCCGGCCTGTATTTTCTTAAACGTTTTTTTTTTTTCTATTTACTGGAAATTTGAATTCAGTTTGAATGACTTTGATTCATCCTAGAGGTGCCCTGGTTTTTGCTCAGACGGTCTCCATTCCCAGGAAATTGCCTTAAGCCTCCAACCAAGTTTGAATGTGACCCTCAAAGCCTTGTGTGTGGCTTTGGATTTGCTGCCATGGGCTTAGTTCCTTGCACACGCAGAGCGCTTGCCTTACTTTTGCCTTCAGTAAGCCAAGCGGTTTGTCTGACATTGAGTCCCTGTGAGAATGCGTTGTCTGTGGCACAGCCACTACTCTGTGTGGAACAAAACAGCCATTGAGGAACATTTCATAACACCACCTGTGTTTGGAGGGCTGGGGAGGGGGGAGGTGTGCTGATCTCATTAGCTGACTCTTATGGCAGAAGGTGTGATAACCCTGCCCCCTTTAATCAATAAGACTGTTAAAACTCAAGGGAGGTAATGTCATTCATTCACTCAGGGGAGAAAGTTTCTTTGTTTTTTGTTTTTTTTTTTGAGCCAGGGTCTCACTCTGTCATCCAGGCTAGAGTACGGTGGCATGCTCACAGCTCACCATAACCTCAACTTCCTGGGCTTAGACGATCCTTCCTCCTTAGCTCCCAAGTAGCTGGGAGTACAAGTATGCCCCACCATACCTGGCTAATTTTTTTGATTATTTGTAGACACAGGATCTCACTGTGTTGTTTAGGCTGGTCTCGAACTCCGGGGCTCAAGCAGTCCTCCCTCCTTGGCCTCCCAAAGTGCTGGAATTACAGGCAAGAACCACCGTGCCCATCTGAGAATTTTTGAATCCCTTATTCTGTGGTGGGCTCTAATTTAGGCACTGGGTTATAGCACTGAATACACCACAGTTCCTGTTTTCCTGGAGCTTGTAGTCAAGTAGGAGACACATAGCGAAGTAAACCCAAGAGTCTACTGCATGAAGATACCAGGCCACGGAAAAAGGATACAGGGTAAACTGAGGCACACTAGGATCGTCATCGCTGTAGTCTGTGAAGTCTGGGTGTTGTTCTGGGCACACCTCCCCTGAACCTGTGAGGTGGCATACCAGCGACTGGATAGTTGTATAGTTAGCTCAAAGTTACAGTGACAAGAAGTGGTCAACCTAGAATTTGAACCCAGAACTGTGGGTTCTTTCCATTCACTTATGGAGTGCCTGCATTTTGTTTCTTTTTTTTTTTTTTTAATGAAGCAGAGTCTCTTTCACACTCACAACCACCGCAGCCTCGTTCTACTGGGCTCAGGTGATCCTTCTACCTCAGTCTTCCAAGTAGACGGAACTACAAGTGCAAGCCATCACGCCCAGCTAATTTATTGTAGAGATGAGTTCTCGCCGAGTTGCCCAGGCTGGTCTCGAACCCCTGGGCTCAGTACCTGCATTTTTAGTCTCTTTCTAGCTTGAAAGGGGATAATGCCAAGCTTTATGTATCTCAAGGAGGAGGTGGAGGCATTCCTTAACTACAAATAAGTACTAGTCCCTGTTTACTGACACCTCTATTGTGCCAGCGCAGGGCTGAGCTTCATAGTGAGAGGACAGTGGCTTGCCCAGGGCCTCAGAATAGTTGCTTATGGAGACTTAAAAATTCAGTGATTTGTTGAACGGTCCCTTGGACTTAAGAGTAAGTGTGATTACTACTGATAATCACAGCAGCTCCTGATGCTTCATCTGACTTAGGCTAATATGTGATTTACAGATTCACTGCGGGACCCCAGTTCACAGTTGCGGGCCTGTCCCCCCGGCACTGCTGCCTGCCTGGTAAGAGGAGACCAGGTGTTCGACGTTGGCCAGCCCAAGGAAGGCCTGAAGCTAGTGCGCAAGGACAGGTCAGTCTGGGGCTTGGCTGCTGCTGGCATTCTTACTCCTGATCTCAGGGAGCTGGGAGAACAACACCCTTTTCCAACAGGGCTTGGGATAGTCCCAAGCAAAATCGCTACTTCACATTAACCTGTAAGGTCCCTGGTCACTTCTGTCAGTCACATAGGCCAGTTTGCTGGTTATGGTCCGAGTAACGCTCAGCTGCTCTCCCTTGATTCCAGTAAATCAAAGGGGCAGGGAACTGGTAGAAAGAGTTTTATTTCTAAATTTGAATCCAGGGGGCAGGGCCGACTTTTGGCCTCTTTAAAATGTTTTTCCTCCCCCTTTTACAGTCAGTTTTATGAGTTCAGGTAGTTGGTACTGATGCATTGACTACGTGACTAGCAGAGCATTGTCTAGAACCTAAGTTACAGCCGCATTTTGTCAGTAATGACATTTATGGTCCACATTTCCTGGCGCCAGTTACCAGAGGTATCTCATAGCTTTTTATCAGCAACACCCGGCAGAAGCGTTCATCAAGTTTGCTATAAGAGTAAAGGGAGTTAACGGCCTAAGACATCATACATTGTTACATGTTGTTAGACACAAAAGTTATACACATCACAAGACTTACCATTACATTGATACAAAAGTTATCCAAACCTGGGACTATTAAGAAAAGGGAGTAAATGGGGATTTACATCTCTCAGTGAATTGGGCACAGTCTGCGGGAAGTTAAGTGTTCTTTGAAGTTACTTACTGGGAGTGCATAGGAGATAAGGGTCAGTGCTTCTTTTATTAACTCTCAGGAATGTGGGTATGTTCAGGAGCTCTCAAATACATGCCGTGCCCTTCTCTGGGGGTTGTGGCAATATGGGCAGACAATAGTGGGTCTCTGTGTCATGCTGGTTGTAAAAATATATATCACGATCCCATCCGTAGTACATACATGTATTTGCCTCATGAAGTGAGCATTCTGTAGCTTCTGTGAAGTTGCTTTCTTTTCTGTAGTTTTCTGTTCTTCGGAGGGCAAATGACAGGAGGGGTAGTCGACTGGTGACCCTCACTGGAACATGGCGGGCACCCTGGCTCCCAGCAGGGGTTGGTATGTGCTGTTTACACAGACAGTTCTGCTGCCTTTGAGCCTTGACCTGCAGCAGTGTATTTCTCTAGTGTGTGACACATGGCCATGTCCTGAACTGAGATCAAGGATTCTGATTTTCTTCCCGTTTGAGGGGCCTTTAGTAGACACATTGTCATGGCTTGCTCTAGTCTGGAACTAGTGACATGTCAGGGTGGTTGTAGTAGTGGTGTACAACATCTGCATAATTATGGATTGTACCTCTGTTCATAGAAAACACTAGATCATAAGCTTGAAAAATGTTTGGAATTTTCTGTGTGTGTGTGCCTGCATTAGTTTTCTCTGGCTGTCTTAAAAAAAAATACGACAGACTGGGTTGCTTAAACCACAGAACTTGATTTCTTCACAGTTTGGAGGCCAGAAGTCTGAGACCACAGTGTTGGCGAGGTTGGTTTCTTCAGAGGCCTCTGTCCCTGGCTCTCCGTGTGTCTTCACACAGCCTTCCCTCTGTGCAGGTCTTCGCTTCTGATAAGGACACCAGTCACACTGGATTAGGGCCCAGTCATATTCACTGACATACCTCTGTAAAAGCCTTTTCTCCAAATGTGGTCACATGTTGAGGCCTGGCTTCGGGCTTCAGCATAGGAATTGGGAGATGAAACAGTTCAGCCCATAGTAGCATCTCCAAGTAACAAATGGGTACTTCTTAATGCAGGAGCAAATGAGTGAGGATGTAGTGAGATGAGTACATTGAGCAAGACCTCCAGCTTGTCTTGGGAGAAAAGGCAGATCATCTATTTTCAGCTGTTCCTTCCAGGCGACTGAGAATAGTAGATATGTTTCACGAGCCCTAGCGAAGGGAGCTGGCATGTCGACTGATGGTCTGGGCGATGGAAGAGAACCCCAGTTCCGAGATTTCTGGGCTGATGCTCTGGGGTATCTTCAGATTAAAAAAAAAAAAATCTTTGGCTTGCACTTAGAAGTTGTTTATAGAGGAAATGATCCTGTAGCCTTGTGGGCAAAAGTGGACTGGGCCTGCTTGTCTGTGTTTGTTTTGTTAGCTCATTTACAACATTTCTGTTTGTTTGTTTTACTCAAACAGCTTTTCTTCGTATATCAGATTTAGATGGTGGTTACTTTATTTTTAACAAAATAATACCCAGCTGAAATTTACTTTTATTTTTATCTATCTGTCTGTCTTTCAGTCTATCTTTCTATCTATCTATTTATGTATTTTTGAGTTGGAGTCTCAGTCTGTCCCCCAGGCTGGAATGCCCTGGCATGACCACGGCTCACCAAAGCCTCGACTTTCTGGGCTGAGGCGATCCTCCCACCTCAGCCTCCTGAGTAGCTGGGACTACAGGCATGCCCCACCATGCTTGGCTGATTTTTTAAATTTTTTGATAACTATCGCTATGTTGCCCAGGGTGGTCTCAAACTCCTGGACTCAAGTGAGCCTCCTACCTTGGCCTCCCAAAGTGCTGGGATTATAGGCATGAGCTGTCGCGCTTGGCCTGAAATTTACTTTTAAGTTCTTTTTTTTTCAAAGGGAAATTAAATAAAATTATTTTATTTCTAGCTTCTTCTACCTTTTAATATTCTTCTGTTGCCCTTTCCCCCCAAGTGAACGAGCTGAATGCTTAGCAACATATTAATTTGAATGTCATTTATGTTTTTGTAATATGCTTTTTCTCAATGTGGATCACACAGGCTTGTCCTGAGTTACGTGAAGGAAGAGGCAGAAAAGCCAGATTTCTGTGATGGTCACAGCCCAGCAGTGACTGTTACATTTGTTTGCCCGTCAGAGCGGAGAGAGGTAAGTGACTTGACTCTGGCTGATCAGAGAGCAGTGCGTGTTAGCCTGGGTTGCCTCTCTGAATGCATGTCTGGGTTTGGGGCCAAGCGGACCAGTGTATGGGCAGTGGGGAGTTATCCAAAGAGAATGGTGGACTCTCAGGAGGAGATGAGTTTCCTGGGATGGATTCTGCACTGGTGTGAGACTCACTGGGGCAGAGTGTTTGCTTTTTGCTGTTTGCTTTTACACACCGACCCAGAGGGTCTTGACCTATGTCAAGGTGGGCTGGTGCTCTAGTCTGGGTGAGATGATTTTAAGTGGTTCATGGACAGGTTTTTAAGTTTTATAGTTAGGGTGATTTTAGCGAAGAGTTGAAAAACCATAAGCATGCAAAGCCTGTGATTTCTTGTGGGGAATTTCCCTCCCTCCCTTCCTCCCCTTCCCCCTCCTCCTTCTCTCCTCCTCCTCCCCCCCTCCCCCACCTCTTCCTTTCCCATTCTCCCCTGCCTGCCTTCCCCCCTCACTCACACTCACAGGCAGATTTATTGCTCTGTCCTCTGGCTGCTTATCAGATCTCCAGCACAGTCGTAAATTCCTGGAGGGGAGCTGCTGGATCTCACTAGTCCTTGAGTCCCCATTGCCCAGCGGCCATATGTCAGTTTGCTGTGTAAGTGTTTTAACAGGGGCCAGGTGCTGGTGGGAAGGAGGCATCCCCCAGGGAGGAAAGGGGTAGGGCTTTCCTTTAGTTTATGTCTGCCTTTTAGTAATGGAATGAAGAGGAGCTGGACTCTTTTGCCAGAGAAATGTACTCCCTTCCCCCCAAGGATATGTGGCATTTGCTCTGATTTCAGGCTGGCTTCTGGCCCAGTGTGCGAGGGATATGCAGCCAGAAGTGCAGTCCAGGCCCAGCTTTCCATGTTCCATCCTCCTCTGTCCACGTATGCAGTCAGCTTAACCACGGCCTGACTGGCCCATGCTTGTTCCGAAAATGAATGTTGAGGAATATTTACTTATACTTTCCATCTGTACCTACAGATGTGAATTGAAATCTTTTAGGCCTGTGAGATATTCTAGGCTGGTAGTGATATCAGTGTTTTCCTTTTTTGTTCTATATTTGGTAAGAATCATTTTATGCTATGATAATTAAGAGAACTGGGAGTTTCCCTCCTTTTTCCTCCAAGGGTAAGGGAATTTTTTGTTTGTTTTTTTTGGTGTTAGAAGAGGAGGCTGATTTATTATTAGTGGGGCTAGAGGTTCCTTTTCTTTCTTTTTTTGAGTCGGAGTCTCACTCTGTTACCCAGACTGGAGTACAATGGCACACTCATGGCCACTGAAGTCTTGACTTGCTGGGCTCAAGTGATCCTTCTGCTTCAATCTTCCAAATAGTTGGAACTACAGACACATGCCATCATACTCAGCTAATAGTCTTGATTTATTGTAGAGACAAGGTCTCACCATGTTGCCCAGGCTGGTCTCGAACCCGTGGGCAGTCCTCTTGTCTCTGCCTCCCAAAGTGCTGGGATTACAAGCGTGAGCCACTGCACCCTGATAAGGTTCCTTTTCAAGCTTAACTGTTTGCTGGGCAGAACTTAAGTGATGTGCTTGGATGCTATAATACTTGGGAGGTTTATTTAAGCACTTACATTGGCTCATTGAATGCTTTTAGGAGTGGATATTTATTAAACATTTGCCTTGGCATATAAATCTTTTTGAAAAAAGTTTTATACTATAAATTCACCTGTTTTTTAAGTACAATTCCATGGTTAGTAGTATCTTTACAGAATTGTGTGACCATCATCACAATCTAATTTTAGAACATTTCCATCACCCCAAAGAGAAATCTCATGTCCATTAGCTGTCTTTTCCTACTCCCTCCTCCAACTCTGGCAACTGTGAGTCTTCTTTCTGTCTCTATAGATTTGCCTTTTCTGGACAGTTTATATAAATAGAGTTGTACAATATGTAACTTTTTGTATCTGGCTTCTCTCACGTAGCACTCGGCTCTGTTTGTCAGACTGCGCTGAAAGCATTGACTTTGAGTTAGTCAGAAGAGGGTTGCGCTTGCAGCTCTGTGACTTACAAATTGTGTGTGATCCATGTGTAAAGCTGGCACTTAGTACTGTGCCTGGCATGTAGCAGGTGCTCAGTCAATGTTTATGGTAATGGAGGGTGCCTAGAAGCAGCACAACTACTCCTGGTACTAAGACCTGCAAGACACTTCTCCCAAGGACACTTAAAAAACATGGCAGCAGCACTCCAGGGAGCAGTGACCTCACTAGCACCCTTCACACCAAAGATGAGTGCACCAGCTCCTGCTCTGTAAAGGCAGCTCTCTGGCAGCGAAATGACAGAATCTGGGTTTTGACAGAGTGATGTCCTGGCTCCATCTGAGAGCAGATTTGGGTACAGATGAGGTGTGGTGCCCAGGACCCTGGTGGGTTAATGGCTGTCTTCCCGGATGTGTATGTGTGTGGTGGTGTTAACTCAGCATTGGAGCTTCATCATCCCTGGGTAAGCGCCTCTTGTGGAAAGCGGTGAATGCACCATTCACCCCTCACAGACGTTGCCAAGGTCATAATGATTGTCAGGTGCCAGAGTCCAGGGTGTGTTTGCTGGCCTAAGCTCAAGTGTCACTCTGCAGGTGGCTGGAAAAGAAACAGAGATGTTATAAGTAATGGAGGTCGTCAAATGGAAAAAAAGTTAAGGAAATATATTTTTAAAAAGTAAAAGTAAATGGGGTTGTTATAAGTCAAATAATCTTAATGTGTCAGGGGCAGTTATGATTCAAAATACAGGCACAGCAAAATGTAAAAACCCAATAATCATTCCTTTAACATCTCAGACTCATGTAAAATCTGCATTCAAGCTTCATTAACAGATTTTTATTTTGCTTCTTTCAAATTGTTCCTGATAGGGCACCATTCCCAAACTCACTGCTAAATCCAATTGCCGCTATGAAGTTGAGTGGGTTACCGAGTATGCCTGCCACAGAGATTATCTGGAAAGCAAAAACTGTTCTCTGAGCAATGAGCAGCAGGATATCGCCATAGACCTTCAGCCTCTAACCAAGAGCAAAGGTGAGTGGTCACCTTCGGCTCTGCCCAGGCGTCCTGGTGCTGCTGGGGAAGAAAGGGACCGGGTGGGGGGACAAGGCAGGTGGGGCCGGGTCCGTTGGAGCCACTGGGGTGGAGGAGCCCAGGTCTGGGCTGTGTGACAGAAGTATAGGGTTGACCCAAGCGGTGCTGTGTTGTTCTTACTCTGCTCCTGTTTATTTCCCTTCTTTTAGGTTCCTACTATATGGTAGATGGAAAAGAATATACATTTTATTTGAATGTCTGTGGGGAAACTGAAATACCGATCTGTGCTAAGAAAGAAGCTACAGTTTGCCAAGTGAAGAAGAGCGATTCCACGCAGGTCAAAGCGGCAGGAAGATACCAGAATCAAACGCTCCGGTGTGTGAACGGTGTCTGTGTAGCTTTCAAGTGCATTGTGTGTATTCAGGTGAAATGTAACTTGCTCCCCTCCTCTCCTTCCTCCCTCTGCTTTCCATACGGCACAGGAAAGTCGGTGAAGCCAGCATCCGTCCCCGTTTGACTTGGGCAAGGTGCCATCTGTCACTAAGCAGGCGGCTGTGTTTCCGGGCTTTATAGTGAGAGTGCTCCCGGTGGAACTGCTCATTTTATAAACCTGTTGTTTGTGAGGAGCCTACTGTAGGAAGCTTATTTAGTGAGTTTACAGTGATATGGCTTTTGTTTTTTAAAATTTATGTTTTTGAGGAGTTTTGTCTTTTCTCTGACAATTTGAGAATCTGAAGTGCCACTGGCATTGTATAAAAGTTTTAAATAGGCCAGACTCAGTGGCTCAGCCTGTAATCCCAGCACTTTAGGAGGCCGGTGAGAGTGAATTGCCTGAGCCCCCGGGTTCAAGACCAGCCTGGGCAACTTGGCGAGACCTCATCTCTACAATAAATCAAAAATTAGCCAGGCATGGTTGTGTGTGCTTGTAGTTCTGGCTACTTGGAAGACTGAGTCTGAAGGATTGCCGGAGCCCAGCAGGTTGACGCTGGGGTAATTGTGAGCGTGCCACTGCACTCCGGCCTGGGTGACGGAGTGAGACTCCAACTCAAAAAAAAAAAAGTTTTAAACAACGAAAAAAATACATACGGCACATTTTTTGTGACCTTAACTTGGTAGTTAACTTTCACAAAAGCAGTATGAACATGAAGTTAGGGGCAATATTGATTAAAAAATCAGGGAGAGAAAAATGCAAAAACTCAACAACCTGGCCTCAAGCTTTTCAGAAGTGTGGAGTGTCTGCATTTAAAAATGTCTATTTTGCTTCTTTCAAGTTGTCCAGGATCAATGTTGTCTAGTACTGTCTCTCCTAGGTAAGATTGTGCTTAGGACGGCTGCTAGAAAGGTTGTCTAATTCTTGGGCATTGTCTGTTTTGTACAAAATCCAAAAGTGAGAGCGAGAGAGTCTTGGTGCTCACAGCAAAACCTCAGCGCTTTATTCCAGCCAGTTATTGCTTTGAAACAAGAGGATGACAGGCCTGTCCATTTGTAACTCATTTCCGTGAGACACTTTTTCCCCAGCTGGCTAGGAAGCCTGCTGTTTTATGTCAGTGGTGATTTGTGGATGGCATGCAAAAGGCTTCATGTAGACATTTAAAAAAGTTCAAGCTTCATTCTTGGTTCCACACAACACATTTGTCTGTGTATTCACAAAACTCTAGGTACTCGGATGGAGACCTCACCCTGATCTATTCCGGGGGCGACGAGTGTAGCTCCGGCTTCCAGCGTATGAGCGTCATCAACTTCGAGTGCAACAAGACCGCGGGTGAGAGTGCGCTGGAGCACAAGCTCTGCTCTCTGTGTTGGTGGGCGTGTGTGCGTGCGCGGGGTGTTCTTGGAAGTGCATGTGGAACAGAGGAGTCAGATGTCTTCCTTTGGACTGGCCACCTTTAGTCCCCAGATGAGGTTTTTCTGGTGGAGTAACACCCTCCCCACCCCCGTTCCCCCAAGGACACACACATCCTGTTTGCATTTTCCTCTGCTCTCTGTGTTTGTTTTGGGAACATGCCCAGCACTGAGCTTTCTGGGAGTTTCTGTCTTGCATTTTTGCAAGGACAGATCTAGCAGAGGTGGTTTGGCACACCAGCTTCAATGGAGAGGCCTTTTCTTTTATGTAATGACTAGCAAGATGACCCTTTTTGCAGAGTGGTGGCCCTGTGGCAGAGTAAAAATCTGGGGATTACAGGATGACACTGGGCATGGTTAAGCTGAGGGTGTGACTTTTTCTGTGATTAGGAGAATCGTCCTTGAGTCACCAAGGCACTGGCATTTCAAAAAAGTTTGCCGCTGTCTGGGTCTTGAAGATTGTAGACAAAGTTGTGTCTGCAGAGAGGTGAGGGGATTCCATCATCATCAGAAACCTGTCCCATCCTTGACCCCTAGGCTGTGACCTCAGGCGCCTGCAGGCCCACCCATCTCTGCTCAGAGCTCTCCTTCTGGGGCCAGGTCTGGTTTCCAGCCCATCTCTGCACAGCTGGCCCAGGCGCCATATGGCTGCCCCACCCCTGAGGGTCTTTCTGGCCCTTCTTTCTGTTTGTTTTGCGTGTTTCTATGGCAGCGCTCTGGATGGTTTGGTCCTGGGACAGGTTCCTGCATGATTCATTGTAGTTTCTGGGAGGGGCAGCTGCATATGATGTGAACTGGGCCCCTGAGACCCCCATAGCTCATGTCTGTGGTGGGGGAGATGGCTGGGTGCCTGTGTGACTGTAGCAATGGGCTCTAGTGAACTTTCTCACAAGCAAGCAAAGAGCAAACTCAAGGAAGCTGCCGGAAAGGCGCTTGATGAAGAGACCCTGTGACCGCTGTCGTGGAGCCTGCCCTAGGGTCCCGCTGGCATCCCTGTTCCGCCTGCACATGGACACCACTCTTCCTCAGGAATCTGTTTGCTGGCCCTTTCTGTCACTTTCATGTACACACATTATTTGCTTAGAGGGTGCTGTGTGAGGCCTGAGGGTGCTGTGATGACAGACGGCTCTTGAGGCCTTCACAGACCAGAAGTGGAGAGACCTAAGGAGCGCGACGGTTGAAGTCTGTGGCAATGTGTGTCAGAATAGAGATACTGCATGGGCTTGTCACCTGGTCCTTTACCAGGAGGGAGGTGTAAGGTCAGCCTGGGCTGAGTCTGGGCTGGCCCCAGAAATCTGGCAGTCAAGAGAGGAGGAGGTGCTGCAGGAGTCATAGGACGAGAGCACCCTGGGCATGTGACGGGTAGTGACCATGGGGTGGGGACTCAAAGGCACCAACTGGAGTACCTGTGAGTAGGTCAGAGGCTGCATATTGACAGTGCGGCTGAAGTTGACCTGAGAAGAGTGAGGGGTGCCTCATGTCCTGCACAGGAGCTGGGCTTGATCTGGAAATCAGTGTGAAGTGCCAAGGATTTTCAGCAGGGGTGTGGTGTGTATCTGATTTGTGAGTGATAAAAAATCAGTGTGGTCTCTGTCTTGTTCAAACGCTCCCTGCCCCTTCAGGTTCCCCATCACCCTCCCATCGTCCTCACCTATTCTCAGCCTACTTTGAGGAGACTGTCTCTGAGCTCTGAACAAAACACCTTCTGCTCTGTCCCCAGGCCCAGGGAAATGTAGCCTGCTTCTGGCTCTGTGTGCCCAGTCCCTCACGTGCCCAAGCCTGATTCTGGCTGCTGTGTTGCCCAGTGGGCTCCCCGGGGCTTCCTGCTGGGTTGGGCTACTCCAACTCCCTCTGACCTTGTCATGACCTCCTGTGTGGCCTGTTCCGTTCAGGACTTTGTATTAATGACTTGGCAGAGCTCTTTGAGAGTGTGCTCGTCTCATTTGGGGATGCTGGGAAGATGGAATGATGATCCAGAAAGATCCAAAGGCACAGGGAGGATGTGGGAAGGGTGTGTAGTCTTGGACTCACAGGAAGAGGCATGAACATCGAAGACTTGTGCCTTGAAAGCTGAAGCACCAATAAGCCAAGGCTTTACAAAAATGCTGGAGGCCTTTTCTTTCTTCTCCTTTTTCCCCTTTTTATTTTATATTATTATTATTATTTTTTGAGTTGGAGTCTCACTTTGTTACCTAGGCTGGAGTGCAGTGTCATACTCATGGCTGCTGCAGCCTCGACCTGCTGGGCTCAGGTGATCCTTCTGCCTCAACCTTCCAAATAGCTGGAACTACAGGTGTGCACCACCATGCCCAGCAGTTTTTTTTGATTTATTGTAGAGACACAGTCTCACCATGTTGCCCAGGCTGGTTTCAAACTCCTGGGCTTAGACAATCCTTTCTCCTTGGCCTCCCAAAATGCTGGGATTATAGGCATAAGCCACTGTGCCTGGCCTATTATAAAAAATTTTTAAACATATAAGTAGAGCACAGTGAAAATTCACATGTCCATTTCTCTAATATCCTTTCATGTTTTGCCAAATTTGTTTCCTATGAACTATACCTCCTTGGTGGATCACATCGCCCTATCCTGATGCCAAGAAAGTACATTCTTTTATGTAAAGTAAATAGTATTATTGTAGTTCACAAGATTAACAATGATACCCTAATGTTTACAGGTCTGTTTTCACTATGATTGTAACAAGGAGCCCGCAAAGAGATGTTGGTTGTTGTGGGAGCCCGCAAAGATGTTGATTGTAACAAGGAGCCCGCAAAGAGATGTTGGTTGTTTTATATATATGTATATTTATATATTTTTTTATATGAGTCTAAGGTTTGAGCTTGTTCCCAGGGAGGAGTGGGATTATAAAATATTTGCGATTCCTTCCCACTCTGAGATTCAGTACTGCAAACTTTGGAGCAAACTATGTCCTATAAATTTTTTTCACTGTTGTTTTGTTTGACTTTAAATTTAGTTTTTGGAGAAAATCCCCTGGTGGATTCTGTATTTATGGGGTAGATGTAATAATGTATTTTTGAATGTGAATGGTATTAATTGGCTATGTAATACAAGGAATGTATTTTATAGTTTAAGTTGAATCTCCAGGAATTATTTATATATTATTTATATATATTAATCTAAGGTTCATGCTTCATGCTTTTTCAAAACGCATTTATTCTTTTGACCATTTTATATATATGTGTGTGTGTATTTTTTTTTAGCCATTTAACTATATATATATATATTTTTTTTTAACCATTTCTTTCAGTGATTTCTAGTTTGCTGGCTGTAAAGTAATATCCTATTATTGGTGATCCCTTAAAATAAGGACATTAGGTAATTTTTTGGGAAGAGTAAAATTAGAATAGGCTAAGAAAAAACCCACGGATTTAACTGGCTTGGTACTTTAAAGGTTTATTTTCTTTAGTTCGGTGTGAGTCCTTGGGAATGGGGCTGCAGGTGGGAGCTCTGCTCCATATGGCCATTCAGTTACTCACACTCTTTCCGTCCTGTGTTGCTGCTATTTGTAGATGTGGCCTCCAAGACTTCAAAATGAGAACAGCATTTTTTCTTTTTAAAAAATATACCAGCCGGGCTTGGTGGCTCAGCCTGTAATCCCGCGCCTCTGGGAGGCTGAGGTGAGTGGATTGCCTGAGCCCGCGGGTTCGAGACCCGCCTGGGCAGCGAGACCTCATCTCTACAATAAATCAAAAAATCAGCTGAGCGTCGTAGCGCATGCCTGTAATTCCGGCTATGTGGAAGGCTGAGGCGGAAGGATCACCGGAGCCCAGCAGGTCGAGGCTGCGGTGGCTGGGAGCCGCCACTGCACTCCAGTCCGGGCGACAGAGTGAGACTCCAACTCAAAAAATATATATATATATACCAAGGACTAAGTCACTTGGCTCAGCCTGAAAGGCAGAGGAGGCTGGGAAATGGAGTTTAGTTATGTGCATAGAGGGAAAATTAAACCAGTTTGGTAATAGATAGCATTGTCTTTGCCACCAAGAAATAGAGGAATGGCTGCTGCCACCAGCTCCTCAGACAGAGAGCTCCTTGGTTCTCTTGGAAAACTCCCCCTCCTCTGTAGCTGGAATGCAGAGACCATGAGACTGTGTGAAGTGGTGTGCTGCAGAATAAACTGGAGCCTGGGAGTCAGGCTGGCGCCTTGGGGACCTTGTGAGTGAGGGAGAGATAGTGCAGAACTAATGCTAACATTGTTGACGGGTGGACAGAAACCATAGGCCCTGGAACAGTGATCTCTGAAGTCAAAGCCCAGTGTTTCTAAAAACAAACCAAAGTTGGTAGAGGGGAGCAGAGCTTACTATTCTGCTGAAATTCTTTGAGGAATTAAATAAGAATACGTGTGAAATACATAGCAGTGGTTATTTAAAATGAACTCTGCCTGCAGGTCATTAGTAAGTCTCAGATGCAAAACCAGCTCAAATGTAGAGATGACTGCTAGGACCATTCATAGTGGTGTTTAATTGTTTGTAAACTTAGCTGGTAAAAGGAAAACATGGTGAGTGTTCATGTTTGCATAAACACAAATCTTTTCCAAATAGTGAAACTCATATCCAGTCAGATTAAACTGCGTAAACCATGGAGGTGGGTTGAAACGAGACAATGGAATGTCCTTACTTCTGAGTTAGTGCACTGTGGAGTGCCAGGGTCCCAGCTAGGGGTGGTGGACTCTAGGTTACCGTCTGCACCCAGGAGGGGAAGGTAGAAGCCATTCTTAAACAGAATGATGGCTTCAAGTACTTACTCAAAACCAAACCAAACGAGTTTACCAACTAGACAAAAAACACAGGGGAAGAAAAAAACAAAGAAAAAAGTGGAAAAACCCTGCAGTGGTGTGGGAGGTCTTGCCTTTTGGTTCTGGTTGAGGCTGAGGCCTACCATCTGGGTTTGAGTCTTAGCTCCTCTCCTTTGGGTTATGAAAGCATAGGCAAATTATTCAGCCACCCTGGATCGACCAAATGGGACTAAAGCTGTACCTTTGCCATAGGGTTTTAGGATTGAGTATGTTAATGCAGTCATGTATTGTTTAACGATAGAGATTGTTCTGAGAAATATATCATCATTAGGTGAATTTTGTCATCGTGAACATTATAGCGTGCACTTGTACTAATCTAGATTGTACAGCCTCCTACATACCTAGGCTGTATGGGAGAACCTGTTGCTCCCAGGGTACACACCTGAACAGCATATGACTGTACTGAACATGGTTGGCAGTGTTAATATAATGGTAAGTATTTGTGTGTCTAAAGATAGAAAGGGTACAGAAAAATGTGGTATGATAATCTTACAGGATTGCTGTCATATATGCAGTCCGTTGATGGTTTGTGACTGTGTGTATGGAACGCTTCAAACGGAGCCTGTTTTTCTGCAGCTAACTGTTTGGAGCTGAGAGACTTAGCTCAGTGCCTGGCTCAGATTGTGCTCCTACAGGCTAGCTGCTGTGACTGGTATGATAATTGTAATGATTATCATATTAAAGATTTAGTAGAAATTAAAATGGAAGTATCATTTGCCCTTGGAACATTACACAACTCAGGCCACCAAACCTCAGGGAGGCAAGTCATATGGAAGGTCAAGACAGGGATGATTAAGCCATCAAGGGATGGAAAAAGGACCTTTATGCCTGCAGCCCTGGAAAGGCACGGGGATAGGATTTCCAGCAAGGGGAAAGTCAGTGAAGTCTGTAGGACCCCAGGCTCTGTGGGGTGGGGAAGCAGCCCAGGAAGAGCTGGTTTTCAGGCTAGTGCTGACCTGTTCTGGCCAATGGATGGGACATCTGTAGAACTCACTCTGGGTGGAGGGGGAGGAAGAGACTTGATTAGAGGAGGGTCTCAGAGACAGATGCGCTATTGCCTGTCCCACTTGGAGGTGTGCCACTAACATGGCAGGGTTGGCACAGGATTTTGACATGCTTTCGCTAGGAGCGACTATAGACATCCTCTGCTCTTTTGCTTTTGGGCTGAGTTCCAGGGAACTCCTAGAACTCTGGCCTCCACCTTCCTTTCTGTGAATCCCTGGTCTTACCCAGAGGTGTCTGTGATCCACTTGGGGGACAACAAAGTCTTGCTCGCTGCCCTCCCATTCCTCATGTGTGTGCTTCTTATCAGTGAATGCGCCGTACACAACTTTCTGTCAATCTCTCCCAAGATGAAAGGGATGTCAGCCTGCCATGGAGGACTTAGGGTTAAGCATCTAAAACCTAAAGAAGCCTCTCTGATCTCTGACCCCCAGGGGCTCTAAAAATCTGGACTTGAGTGTTTAAATAGATGATTGGCATCAGTGCTGTGACTGTTGGACCCTGTTCCTCAGCTTTCCTCGGTTTGAGTCACATGATAGAGTTTTATTTTCTTCTCCCAAATTGTACAGGTAATGATGGGAAAGGAGCGCCTATGTTCACTGGGGAGGTTGACTGCACCTACTTCTTCACATGGGACACGAAATACGCCTGTGTTAAAGAGAAGGAAGACCTCCTCTGTGGTGCCACTGATGGGAAGAAGCGCTACGACCTGTCGGCGCTGGCCCGCCATGCAGGTAACGCCCACCCTGCCATTTGGCTACTAGTCCGTGTGTGCATGGCATATTTTCCCATAAATACTTTTGGAAATGATGTTACTATTTTCTTTGTCAACTAATTGGGTCACAGCCCTTTTCTTACATTTTGATGTAGCCATACGAGTTATTAGGAGCATTGGATTGGAGGTGAAATACCTAAATTTGAGACCAATGTTACCATTTCCTAGTTGGGTTACCTTGGGTCTTCTTACTGTAGTTTGATACAAACTATTCCTTCCCGGCAAAGTGTCAGGTCTTGTGCTCTCTCTTTAGAAGTTGTTTATTTTTTAAATATCAACTCTTTTTATTTGAGTCAGAGTCTCACTCTGTCACCCAGACTGGAGTGCAGTGGCATGCTCACAGCCACTGCAGCCTCAACCTGCTGGACTTAGACGATCCTTCCGCTTCAGCCTTCTAAGTAGCTGGAAACTATAGGCATGCACCGCCATGCCTGGCTAATTTTTGATTTACTGTAGAGATGAGGTCTTGTCACAGTTGCCCAGGCTGGTCTCGAACCTGTGGGTTCCATGCAGTCCTCTCCCCTCAGCCTCCCAAAGTGCTGGGATTATAGCCATGAGCCACCATGCCCAACCACATTTCGACTCTTAAAACAGCCTTCCTGTAGGCAGTGTTCCTGTAGAACACAGGAGCTTTCAGGCTCAGAGGGTGGAGCTCATGATTTTGACCTTGGTGTTTTCACTCTTTTATCTCACTGCCTCTTTCCTATCTGGGGATTCACACCCCCTACCCTTGAATTCTTCTGTGAGGATTGGAAGCGGGTGTATACTCAGTGCTGCCTCAATGCATGGCAGGCTTGTCATTGTGGCTTGGTGTGCGGTGAAGTCCTGCCAAGCAGGCTTGGTATTTGTCATGCAGCAGGTACTGGGTAAGGAGTTGAGGACCCAGCTCTGGCCTGGACAGCACAACCCCTGCCCTCACAGGCTTGGAATTTAGCAGGAAACAGAGAAGATGGAATAATAATAATGGGAGCTTCTATGAGGCATAACTGATCTCGCTGGAGCATTTCTGATTCCACCCTCTTGGCAGTCCTGGAATTAGGTGTACAAAGGGTGGAGGTTGCACTCAAGGCAGAGAGGGCCTCCCTCATGTAATCACACATGGGAGAGCCACATTACTGCACACTGTTATGGAAGTTATTCACATCTTCTGAGTCCCATCTGGTTTGGAGGCGGAATTCCCTTGTTGTGAAGTGTTTGAGGGCTCTGCTGTCGCTGCTATGTTTGAGTGAGTTCCCTCAGCAGGACGTGCTTGCTGTGTGTTAGTGGTTAACACCCTTGAGCTGCTGGGAATAGTGCAGCGGCTAAATTCTGGTCCATGTGTGCTAATGAAGAAACTGGTTTTCTGTTGAAGTAGAGAAAGATCTAATCTCAGAATCAGAGACCTGACTGAGGCTGGTGTTGCCGCATCCACATTTGCTTGAGCAAGATGTTCTCCAGGTTTGAACACAACCTAGGATCTGTGAAGGATGCAGAGATACATTAATTCACTCAATAGACTTCCCAACACAGTCTTGGTCTCTAGGAATCTGGAGTATTTTGTAGCAGTTGTCTTGTAGACAGGCTTAAGGAAGCCGTGAGGCATGAGCAAAACCCTTCCCTGCTGCTTAAAAAGTCCTGTCTCAGGACTGGACAACCTACCCCACTGCAGCCCAGACTTTCAGTGTTTAGGGCAGGTTTAGGTTTCTACGCACAGTCATGTGTGGTCACTTGATGCTGTTGGTGTCAGAATGTGCTTCTCTGAAAGTATTTTGCTACCACGGATGGGTTGTGGGGTTTTTGTCTTCTGAGTCCCAGTTCCTAGCTTGCAAAAGGAGCATTTTCAAAGGAGAATGTGTGTTCTTAACATCTTCACAGCCTTCATGCATGTTCTGTTTTTCCTTCTGTTGATTGTTTAGGGGGTGGTTTGCTTTTTGTGAGCACTCCTTTGCTTGCTGTGGTTGTCGCTGTCAGCATATGCTCTCTCTCCTGAAGGGCTTTGGGCAGCGTCTGTCCACTCTGACTGGCTTATGAGCCTTGTGACTGTAGCCACCAGATGCTTCTCATTTGTCTTTCATGGCCCCAGGCATCTTGTCCCGCACTTGGTCTGCAAACATGGGAGAGGCTGTAGGTTTCTTTTAGCTGCAGAGAGGCCTCCGCGGGGGCTGACATCGGGTACGTTATCAATGGCATGCCATTCTGCCAGGCCCCAAGATACAGGCTGGCTTCCCGATTTAGTTTTTAGTTTCTAATTTCACACTCAGGGGTATGGGAGAATTTTGCTGCTTAATCCTCTGTCCCTCAGTTAAGTCTAATCTTCGGAAGAAGTATGGGGTAGAGTTTGTTTCTGCCACACCATGTGAGAAACCTGAGAATCCTGGGGAGTCTTCGTGCCTCATTCTGCCTTGTTCCAGAAACGTGAGCGCTGAGAGTTGGATGACCAAATGCTTAGTGTGCTTTGGGCCCTTGACCTTTGGCTTACTCATAATTTATGGAGTGACTCACAGAGAAATTATCATTACTTTTGGCTAAAGGAAACTTTCTCTTTGTTTTTTGTTACAGAACCAGAACAGAATTGGGAGGCCGTGGATGGCAGCAAGACAGAAACAGAAAAGAAGCATTTTTTCATCAATATCTGTCACAGAGTGCTGCAGGAGGGCAAGGCGAAAGGCTGTCCTGAGGATGCGGCGGTGTGCGCAGTGGGTGAGTCATGCCTGGGGAACTTGTAGGTGATGCTTTTCCAGGGCATGCCAAATTTGCCACAGCCTGCTTGGAGTGAGTTAAAAAATCCTCCTGTGGTTTATCAGAACCTCTTCTTTCTGGGTTCAGCATATAAGGAATGGTAAAAAAAAAATTTTTTTGAGTGACTCATATATTGGTCACTGCTTGATGCACTCTGAAATCCCGAAGGAACCGCGTTGGAACAGAAGGAACCTCATTGGAAGATACTTGATCATCTTCTCAGTGTGTAGGTTGAGGAGTCACATTACCAGTACTTGTGTACAGTTGATGTTGATTTTTTTTAAATGCCTCCCCTGCCTGGAGTTGCTTCACAGTTGTTGCTTATAATCTCACTCAGAGCCCTAGTAATAGAGTGCCTGTCCCTGTAGGCGCCTTTTGTGTAATTGTTTTGGTCCTGCAGCTGTCATACAGAGACTTCTGAATTTGATGTAGATGTTTAGCACATCCATTTGTGTCATTAGGGACTCACCTTGAAAATGGCAGGTGTTAAGAGTAATGAGAAACCACTATAAACATTCATTCAGTAAGAAATTGTGAGCCCTGCTTAGATTTTAAGAATGATCTTAGAATTCCCAATTGGTGGTGTGTCTTTAAAGGCAGTTTAGGGTGTCTGTGTCTTTACTTAAGAAGGACTTTGAAAAATAGTTTTGAAACTTTGTAGTAAAAAGCAACTGAAACAAGCAGTAAGTGGTCCCTGCTTAGGTTGCTAAACAGGTTTAGTTAGTTTCTGCTTTGGTCATGAGACAAACTACCTCCTGAGCTGGGCTTTCAAAAGACTTTGTGTCTCAGGATAGCTGAGGCCTAGAAAATGCAGGTTAGTGTCACTTTACAGATGGCAATGGCGCACGTGCAAGCCATCCTGCCCTTGGAGGGCACTGTACCCATGGAGGGCATTGTGTGTCAGTCACGGCACTTTCCTGCTAAGCCTGTAGACGGCCTTGGAGGCCTCAGTGTGGCTGTTTACTGCTCAGTCAGACATGTCACCCAAGAAAAACAGGTTGGGAAAGGGGTCACGGTGCACCTGCAGAGTTGGGACTGATTTTTTTTTAACCTCTTTGTCTGCATCATGGTCACCTTTAATTACGTTTTATGTTTTTCCCCTCCATTTCTCTTTTCCAGATAAGAATGGAAGTAAAAATCTGGGAAAATTTATTTCTTCCCCTACAAAAGAGAAAGGAAACATTCAACTCTCTTACTCAGATGGGGACGATTGTGGTTCCAACAAGAAAATAAGAACTAATATCACACTTGTTTGCAAGCCAGGTAAAAATTTAAAAACGTTGAAATCTTTTAGTGGTTTTTGCCAGAGGCCCTGCATTCTTCATTTCTCTGTTGCTCATCGATTGCTGCAAAGGTGATCACATGGAAAGGGGTGGTGCTAATAAGCATCTTAGGTTCCAGAATCTTTGGTGATAGGACACGGGTCAACTGGATTTTTTTTCCCTGTCCTCACCCAAAAGCAATTCAGAAATGGAGAGACTGATGGCATCAAAAGGGAATTGTGTTTGAGCATGTCATCCTTAAGATTGATATGGGGTCTGTCCTGCAAGTTGCTTAACTTTCTCTAAAGGGGGGGAGAATCATAATGGTTTTAAGATGTTGTCCATGGTCTCACTACTTAAAGAGAATGTTAATTTTCATTATCTCTGTACGTAGTCTTTACAGAGTCAAAATTTTTATTTTACTGTTCCTTAAAATGTAGTATTATGTGAATATTCTTTTTGTTTCACAGTTCTATTTATAAATTTTAGGTACTTTCTTGTTGATGTGGTGTAGTTTTTACTGTTTTAAAACATTTAATAGTATATTTCCAGTGTTGGTAATTGTGCTGTTCCATATCCTCTCTCTATCTCCCATTGAAAGACTTCCTTTGGCTAAGTTCCCAGCTGTGGGATAAGGTCAAAAGTTAGGACCATTTTGTTTCTTTTTTTATTTTGGTAAAATATACAACATAATATAAAATTTACCATAAAAAAATTGGGATAAAATATGTGTAACATGAAATTGACTGTCTTAACCATTTTTAATTGTGTAGTTCAGTGGCATTAAGTACTTCTGCATTGTTGTGCAGCCATCACCACCATCCATCTCCAGAACTACTTCATCTTCCCAAACTGAAACTCGGTCCTCTTTGAACAAATAACTCCCCGTTCCCTCCTCCCCAGCCCTTAGTACCCACCCTTCTGTTTTGTATCTCAACGGGTGTGACCGTTCTAGATACTTCCTATAAGTGGACTCGTGTGGTATTTGTAGGACCATGTTTTGACCCACCGTGTCTTACCTCATTTCCCGCTGCCCCTTCCAGGTCTATTTTCAACAGAGTAAGAATGAGGAAAGACGTTTAGAAATGAACGGATTAGTGATGGCTCTTTTTTCCCCATGGACAGGCGATCTAGAAAGTGCTCCAGTGTTGAGAACTTCGGGGGACGGCGGCTGCTTCTACGAGTTTGAGTGGCACACGGCTGCTGCCTGTGTGCTCTCCAGGACGGAAGGCGACAACTGCACGGTCTTTGACTCCCAGGCAGGTATGTGCCTCAGCAGCAGCTCTGTGGTGTAGTGTCACTGGGAACCACTCAGGTTTTTCCTAAACATTCTCTCTCGGTGTTTTAGAGGTAACCTGCTTTAGCATGTTTGTTAATGCTGTTTGACCAAAATTCTGAAAATCTAAAGTTTGGAGCTATGTTTAAGACACTGAAAGTACTGTCTTAAATTCATTGTTGAGATAAGTTTGCTGAGTGCAAAACCTTATGAACAAATCATGTTTGAAAAGGGAATAAATCATGTTTGAAAAGACTTTTCACATGAATTCTAGCGACGAAGGCTACTATGTTAGAGACCTTACAGGAAGTCCACTACAGTGTGGTCATCTTTCTTTGAACCTACTGATTGCTTTTTAGACCAGCAGTTGTGGGCTTTGATGAGCTTCACTGTGAGCTGTACGTTATGGACTTGGAATGGTGTTTTAGGTTAATGGAACAGAAGGGGAATGATGGTGTTGAGTCCATCTCCAACGGAAATGCTAGTAATAGTTACTACAGTTCTGGCTACCTGAAGGGGGAAGTGTCTTTTCTGCCTCTTCAGTTTCTTTCTGCTGTTAGGAAGCCTCTGGGAAGAAGAATCTCTCCCTTTGAAACTGTGGGCTCAGGTCACCCTGTTGACTGTCTTCTGGTTCACCTTATGTATTTTTATTGTTTTTATTCTTACTTAGGGTTTTCTTTTGATTTGTCACCTCTCACAAAGAAAAACGGTGCCTACAAAGTTGAGACGAAGAAGTATGACTTCTACATAAATGTTTGTGGTACAGTGTCTGTGGAATCCTGTCAGCCAGACTCAGGGGCATGTCAGGTGGCAAAAAGGCAAGTGGCTTTTCAGTTCTGGGCTTATTCTTAGGTATTTTGTGTTAGCGTATTCTATTCAGGAACAGATGTGTTCTCTCTCCTAATGTCATTGCTTTACAACAAGCATCTAAAACACTGACCTAACACCTGAAGGATGCTTGGAGTTTAATATCCGGGAGAAGGGCAATGATGAGCCTTGCTTCTCTGTATTTGTGCGTCTCAGCTCCAAGATACTTGTGTGCATGTCTTTCTATTCCGTGTAGTGTTAGTTCACATGAAATGAGTTGTATAAACCAGCGGTGCTGAGAGGAGATTTGGGTCTTGGTGTCCCCTGCAGTTAGAGAGCCCAATGCAGACCCCTGTGTTCTGCAACCCGGGCCTGGTCCCGGGGTCTCTCTGTGCTGCACACTGGTCCTCCCTCCAGTGTCGCAGCCTTGCATGCTTCAGCCCATTGGGTCTTTGCTGAGAGAAATGTGTGTGTATTCTAGTGACAGGAAGACTTGGAACTTGGGACTGAGCAACGCAAAACTGTCATATTATGATGGGATGATCCAGCTGAACTACAGAGATGGCACACCCTATAATAATGAGAGGCACACGCCCAGAGCTACGCTGATCACTTTCCTTTGTGATCGAGATGCCGGAATAGGCTTCCCTGAATATCAGGTAGGGACTGTCCTGTGTTGGGCTCACTGGGGGTACACAGACCTGTCATGGGTTCTTTAATTAGTTTTTGTTTGTTTGTTTGTTTTTGAGTTTGAGTCTCAGTCTGTTGCCCAGGCTGGAATGCAGTGACACTATCACAGGTTATTGTAGCCTCAAACTCCTAGGCTCAAGCAATCCTCCCTCCTCAGCCTTCTGAGTGGCTAGGACTGCAGGCATGCGCGACCATGCTTGGCTATTTTTTTTATTCCTTTTGTGGAGACAAGATCTCACTATGTTACCCAGGCTGGTCTTGAACTCCAGGGCTCAAGTGATCCTCCTGTCTTGGCCTCCCACAGTGCTCAGATTATAGGTGTGAGCCACTGTACCTGGCTGGGGCCCTTTATTTAGAAGCAGAGATACCATCAGTCTGGGTTTCTGGCTAAATCATTACCACAGTTTGTCCTTTTAGATTTTCCAGTGTACATAGGGTAGTGTTTGTTTTATAAGTATTTATTTGGTGGGCTGTACACCTCAATGATAGCCATAAGCCTGTTGGTTTTGGGTATAAAACATGGAAAAGCATCAAAATCATCATTTGTTCCTACTTAGCAGAGGCTCTGTTTCCATTTTAATTCATTACTAGGCAATCTTTTTTTCAGTGAAAGGAGATGGATGAAGGTAAGCTTTCTTTCATGCAGTTTATATTGCAAACAATGCCCTTGTCATTTTCTGATTGCTGGCTTTGTGTCACTTGTCTTTTTCTTGTTGTCCTCCTCCGTCATGGATTAGGAAGAGGATAACTCCACCTACAACTTCCGGTGGTACACCAGCTATGCCTGCCCAGAGGAGCCCCTGGAGTGCGTGGTGACTGACCCCTCCACGCTGGAGCAGTATGATCTCTCCAGGTGAGTCAGGGGTGGCTGCCCTGTTCTGGGCCTGGCACAGATGCTGAGGTCATGGGGGCTGCTGTTGAGAATGTGACTGAGCTGCCGACGGAGAGGGCTGCTGACTCTGGGGCTGCAGGGCCGAGTGGAGTTCTCAGGAGAATGAACTCTAACGATGGTCTGGTTGCCTCCAGATATCACCTGGTCTTTGCTGCAGCAAGAGCTCAGCCTTTCCCTTCATCATTTAAAACACTGAATGTCAGTGCAGAGGCATGGGGGGCAGCTTTAAGGTCTGTAGCTCACTGAGTTGAGTGAAGTTTGTGCGTCATCATGGTGTGTCATGAGTCATGGCGAGCCCACTCTTGTCATTTGTTCGGTGGGCATTGTCACTTCATATCTTTATTTCCCTAACTGGTAGAAATCAATTGTCAGATTGAAATGTGTAAACCCTTTAAAAGCATACATTTTGGGACAACCCCCTTGGGTCCTCTTCCACTCTGGGAACTTTTCTGTCCTCTCAATAAGTCCTACTTTGAAAAAATAAAAAAATAAGACTGGGCTTGGTGGCTCAGCCTGTAATCCCAGCACTTTGGGAGACTGAGGCAAGAGGATTGCCTGAGCCTGAGGTTTCAAGATGAGCCTGTGCAACTTGGCAAGACCTTGTCTCTACAATAAATCAAAAATTAGCCGGGCATGGTTATGCACACCTGTAGTTCTAGCTACTTGGAAGGCTAAGGCAGAAGGATCGCCGGAGCCCAGCAGGTCGATGCTGGGGTGACCGTGAGTGTGCCACTGCACTCCATCCTGGGCGACAGAGTGAGACTCCAACTTAAAAATAAAAAAATGAAAGCATATGTTTTGCTTTGAAATTTTAGTCTCGCAAAATCTGAAGGTGGCCGTGGAAGTAACTGGTATGCCATGGATAACGCGGGGGAGCATGTCACATGGAGAAAATACTACATCAACGTGTGTCGGCCTCTGAATCCAGTGCCAGGCTGTGATCGCTACGCGTCAGCTTGTCAGATGAAATATGCGCGAGATCAAGTGAGTCTGTCCTCCACTGCCAGTCCCTGTTTTCCTCCTCAGCCCCTGTCTTAGTAGATGGAGGTGGTTATTTTGGGACGCCCAGATCAAAGCAGGCCTGGCTGCTTGAGCAGAGCCCTGAGTAAGAGCAGGGTCTCTGTAAGAAAGCTGCCTCCTGAGCAGATGTGTGTCCTATTACTGTTTGGATTCAAAACTTAAAACACAGAAAATGCCATGGTTAACGGTCATGCAGAGCCTGAATTCAGAAACCTCTTTGAGTGCTTCAGCAGGCATCTGCTCACAGAGAGTTTTTGCTTCCAGAACCTCTTGCTTCTGGATTATTAGGGGGAAAGAAAGCCATTTGGGAGCACTGCTGTGGATGAACGGGGTCCACATGTGAGCACCCATCTGAGGTGCCGAGCAATGCTTCATGCCTGAATTGATGCTGCCTCCACTGGAGCTTTTAAGCCTGTTGCCTGTGGTCATTGTGTATGGTCAGTCTTAAAATAAGATGTCTGTGTGCTCTGGGAGTTGGCTTCTGTAAAAATAGCATGTCGGAATGTACTTTTCTTGGCTTAGGTTAGTGGCAGCTTGGAGGTTTTTTTAAAGGAAGGTGATGAGTGCGCCCTGGTGGTTAAACTTTTAAGTTCCCGGTTATGTGACCCTGCACATGAGCATGTGTTCATTAGTGGAGCAATGACCTCAAAGTACCATCCTCATTTTCCCTGGATCCTGTGTCTGTGGATTTGCCTACTCACTAACATTCGTAACCCCAAATTGATATGGAGCACTTTGTTAGTTGTTCTTGGACATGTGTAGTGGCCAATGTGTATGTTTCTGGTTGGCGTTGACCAGGACAATGCTCTGCCCTCTTATTTTGGCCTCACACCAAGATAACCGGAGGATGGAGACGGTGGGGCAGGGCAGTGTGGGAGCTCTAGCTCTGGGGCCAGTTGGTCGGGTGTGAATCCCAGCTCTGGCATCAGAGTGGGGTGGCCTCAGGGGAGTCCGTTAACACTTCTGAGCCTTGTTTTCCTTTTTAAAAGATAAATAGAATCCATCAGCATGAGTTGTTTTGAGGATTTAGGATGATAATCTATGCGTAATAAGTTTGTTTGCCAGTGCACGACAATTCAATATACCAAGACATTGGGGACTGCAGCAGAGAAAGAAGTTAATGATTGTAGGGCAGCTGGACTTGGAGATAGGAGGAAGCCTCAGATCCACCTCCCTGGGGGGTTTGGGTTCAGGGTTTGGAGTGGGCTGAGCTGTGGGTGTCCTTGACTGGTTGAGGAGTGCAGGATGGAGGCATGGAATGGGGAGATGAAGGAGCTGCCTTGTCACCCTGACTGCTCCGCTGTCAGGGTCTGCAGGCTAGTTGGTATCAGCTGCTCCCGTGGAATTCAGGATCTGAACATCCTGAGCAATGCTTAAACAAAAACCTTGTACCTCTTAGGTCAGAAATTCTGTCTATAAGCCAGGTGTGGTGGTTTATGCCTGTAATCTCAGCACTTGGGGAGGTAGAGGCGAGAGGATTGCTTGAACCCAGGGGTTCGAGACCAGCCTTGGCAACTTGGCAAGACCCTGTCTTTACAGTAAATCAAAAACATTAGCTGGACATGGTGGCGCGTGCCTGTAATTCCAGCTACTTGGAAGACTGAGGCAGAAGGATCACCTGAGCCCAGCAGGTCGAAACTGCAGAGGCTTTGAGTGTGCCACTGCACTCCAGCCTGGGTGACAGAGTAAGACTCTGATTCAAAAAAAAAAAAAAGAAAGAAATTCTGTCTATAGGTACAACAGGGATGCAGATGGTTGGTATCTAGTGCTGCGTAACTTTTGGTTATGAGGAAGCGGGCCAAAGTATAGCCTGATTAATGCTTAACTATAACTAAACTTCTGCCCAGAATGTGATTCTTGTTAACCGTGTATAGACAGTTTCATATGTGAGATTGTACGTCTGTGTATGTACATACATACTATGTGTTTGTGACTGTATGTATAGATACTTTACATCCTTCCCTTAATAGTGATGGTTTGGTGTTTGATAACTTATTGCTTACTGTACCTTTAAAGAATGTAACTAGCACAAATAACAAATAAATTGTATCAGTAACAAAGAAGCTAGTTGCTTTATCTTCAGAAGGAAAAGCTTAACAAGACTGACCATTTCCTCGCAGGGTTCCTTTACTGAGGTGATCGCCATCAGTAACCTGGGAATGGCGAAGACGGGCCCTATGGTGGAGGACAGCGGTAGCCTCCTCCTGGAATACGTGAATGGCTCAGCCTGTACTACCAGCGATGGCAGGCGGACCACCTATACCACAAGGATCCATCTGGTCTGCTCCAGGGGCCTACTGGTAAGGTGCTCCTGCATGCTGCGGTCTTCATTGCTTTGGCTTTGTCTTGACTGACTGAGCTCCCTCTTATGCATCTCTTAACAAAAATAAACGCTTCTTGGGTAGGGAGAGGAGTTAGGTTGGCCCTGGTGCTGCCTAAGTTCCTTGTGTGGTATAGATGTGAGTGGGCCAGCCCCACGTTCATGGCTCTTTCGTGGCTGTGATTTCTGAAGTGTAGGCCTCATCTTTGACTGTGGAGTTAGAGGCTGTGGTATGACATTGCTGTCTGGTGTTCTGTAGATTTGGATTTTCTCTCTGAGCTGTGCAGGTGCCATCTTTCCTTTCAGTTCTTGTGAGTGAATGATCTGAGGATCTTGGCAGTGGAATGGGCCTTAGTGATGGTGTACTGTAGGGGCCAAGGAAGGCAAGACGAGGTCAGAAGGACGTTGATCTGAGGCAGCTTCTCAGCACATCAAAGCGCCAGTCTTTGGGGTGTCGCTTTCCAAACCCCAACAGTCCCAAGTCCACAGATGAGGAAGCTGAGCCTCATTGTGCTCAGGCCCTCGTGTGAACCCTGAGGGACGCACTGTGGGACAAGGTAGGAATGAAATAGGAGTAAGAAGGAAAGACTGGAAGTGGGAGGTGGTTGGGGTTGCCATTGGTCCCGAGTTCCTTAGCCAGGGGCGAACAGCAGAGAAAACGCTACATGAAGATGCAATGGCACCATTCTGTACAGTCCCAGTTGCTTCTGTTTTCAAATTGTGGCAAAATATATATAACATAACATTGACCATTTTGATCATTTTCTGGTTAGGTGCATTAAGCACGTTTACAGTGTTGTGTGTACATCACCAGTGTCCATTTCCAGAACTTTTTCCTTGTCTCAAATCTAATTGCTTTGTTACCTGGAGTTTTAAGTTTATACCAGGGTCATATGTTTTTGAGAAATTACCAAATGGTGAGGTAAATCCAGAATATAGACTGGAAGTCATGGTTGTTATCAATGGAATCATTAACAATCAAGTCAACTTGCCAAGGGTCTGTGGCAGCTTCTTCTAGCCTCGCTGAAATGAGCCAGCGAGATGGATTTCCCGTTCTGCATCAGCCCAGCAGAGGACCTATTGGTCCTCTTAGTCATTGACTGATGTACTGTTTTCAAAGAGATACTGTCTTCAACGTTCCAGAAGATCTCTGATAAGGGGATGAAGTGACCAATTAACCAAGTGGCCTGTGCTCCCTGAGGATGTTGTTCTGTCAGGAAGACTGTGTGTACATACTCCAGTTCTTCTGACCTTAGGGCTGCCCATTTCCTTAGTATCAGGAAGGCATCCTGGGCTTGCATGGCAGAGCCTGGCAGTCTCTGCATCCTGGGTATGTCTGTGTGTCTCCTGCCCAGGACCACCCCTTCCCTCTCTGGTTTCTTGTTGCCATTGAGATGCTGGGTACTTCCAGAAAGTTCTTCAACTCCTAGTTTTTATTTTATTTTCAGAGGAAATTCACATTGTCACTATATGTCTCAGCACTGATATGGGGCCTGGTGTATGGTGGGGGCCCAGGAAATACACTCACCGAACGAAGAAAGAGGACCACGCTCGCAGAGGGTTTGCAAATTGCAGAACATTCACAGGTCGAAGCTCACTTTTCACAGCCACACTAGGGTACAAGGGGCAGGTGCATTTTTATCCCGCTGTTAGAATTGCTGAGACCAGGGAGGGTGCGGGCTTACAGGTTAGAGAGCCCTCAGTGGGTAAGGGTGTGGACTCAGGTCAGATGAGCATCGTTTCTTAACCCATGACCCTGGCAGGTGTCTTAACTTCTCTGTTCATCAGTTTTCTCATCTGTAGGTTGTGGGTGCCTTTGGGACACAGTTCGTGGGCCATCATGAGGCTTAGTTGAGAAATGCTAACAAAACTCTTAGTGCAGTACCTGGTGGGTGATAAACATTCCAGTGGACGAGCTGCTGTTACCCGGGTGGGAGTGGTGCTCTCACAGAAAGGTAATGATGCAGAGGGGATACTTTTGGTTGAAACACACACACACAAGGGCAAACATGCCATAACTTAATAACAGCTGGGTGAGTTTTCACAGAGTGAACACGGCTGTATAACCAGAACCCACGTCAAGAAAGAAACATGAGCACCAGCGAGGGTCCCTGGTGTGCTCTTCTTGTCACTTCTCAGCACCCTCCTGACCTCACAAACAGCCTCACCTAACTCTGAGCTTACATCAGTGAAATCTATTGTATAGTCTTGTGGTCTATTTGTGTCTGGCCTCTTGTGCTCGCCTTTTGGTGTAGTGTTTCTCGAAGCATGGCCTTGGACTCAGACCTAGGTTTAGACCCCAATTCCATCATTTACTGCTGGTTTGATTTCTAAACTTCTTAACATTCAGGCAGAAGAGATATTGTCTCCATCAAAGTGGTGATGAGAGCATTAAATTATAATTAGGTAATGAACACTAAATGCCTCACTGACACATGACAAACATTCAGTAGATTTTAGCTCTTTTGTGCACTGGAGTGGTATTCTTTTGGTTAGATCAGGATCCATGTTATCCTCTTGACTTTTACTGTGGATTTGACCTTGCAGAACAGCCACCCCATCTTCTCTCTCAACTGGGAGTGTGTGGTCAGTTTCCTGTGGAACACAGAGGCTGCCTGTCCTATCCAGACAATGACGGACACAGACGAGGTATGTGTGCTGTCACCTGGTCTCTTGCTGAGCTGCCTGCTGGACATGCCCACCTGGGGATCCTAGCTCTGAGCCTGACCCCAGCGCTGGCTTTCTGAGTCAGTTGCTATGTCGCTGTCCCCTAGGCATTGACTGGGGTTCGGGATGCATTCCTGCAGGATCATCCTGCATTCCTCTCTCTCAGCACAGCCTCCCAGAGCCTGGAATAAGAACCAGGTGCCTCGGTTTTACTCCCTGCTCACTGTAAATTCCTTTCTCCTGCCTCCCACTGTCCCTTCCTTGTGACAGTGGCATGGGAGGGGGAGTCTGGGGGCTCTGCATTACCACCAGAGGCAACTGGTTGATGTGTCCCTCCACATCTAACCCTCAATGCCTGTCACCTAGAGGGTAAAGCCCATGTACATTAACATAATCCTGCCTACAGTGTGAGGCCTGTAGGTTTTAACATGACTCTGTCTGTAGGGTAGGGTTTTTACCCCCTCAGCACCTGCTGTGGCCTTTGCTCCACCCACTCTTTGGTGTAGGCCCATGCTCTGCCTTTGAATGCCCCGCAATGGGTAGCCATCAGCTGCTCAGTGATGTGCTCTTGAACCTCCCCAGGTGTGAGTTGGCAGCATTGTGTATTTCTTTACTGTGGGACATGTTTCCCTCTCTCTGTTTTCTCAACTCTCTGCTGGGCTGCCGACTCTGATAGCAGAGACTGGTTTATCCAAGCCAACAGTCCAGCATGGTCCTGGCTTCGTGGGTGCGTGGTGAGGGCAGGATGGTGGGATGCCGGGCACTCTGTCCCCAGAAAGTGCTTCTAGGGCTGTGGCTACTACCCCATTTCCCGCATCTGGTGGATACAGGGTGGCCCAGGGCAAAGTTAAATACACCAGAGGAGAGGTAATCATGTGAGAGTACCTGATCATACTCCCATCGTTACCTTAAAGTGAATAGTTGAAACAGAAAATGCAATACAAGATCTTAAGATGTTTGTTTTCTTTAAAATTTAATTGTGGGCTGGTCCAAAGGTAGTGAGTTCTCTCAGTTGATTGTTCACAGTTCCAGATTGAATGCCTTCCCCCTTCTCATTGCTGCACTTGGCTAGCCTTTAAAACTAATAATACTTTAAAAAATAATGATAGGTCTCATGGTCCCCACCTAACTTTTCTGTTAGGGTTCAGCTGTAGTCAGTTTCTTCAGTTACATACAGTACCCCAAGAGCTTTCAGGTAAACTTAGCATCTCCAAGTCTGGTCTCACACCTGGTACACTCCAGGTGCTGTGTTTGAAGAGGCTGTGGGGTACACACAGGGCTACATTTCTGATAGGGGGAATTTTTAAGTAAGTGGAGAAACAGTTTTGTGAAGTGCACATGTGCAGGTTTCTGGAGGGGCTTTCTGTGTGCCGTTGAATTGGTTTGAACATGCCTCTTCTCCCCTTTTGTTTCCTGTAGGCTTGCTCTATAAGGGACCCCAACAGTGGATTTGTGTTTAACCTTAACCCACTAAACACTTCTCAAGGATATGTGGTCTCCGGCATTGGGAAGACTTTTGTGGTAAGAGTGATATGATGAGTTTCCACTTTGCTTGAAGTGAGGAAAGAGTGCAGTAAAGTCGCCTGCAGCTGGTGATGTGGGGAGGCAGGCGTCCTGAGGAACTGCCTGGGGTGCTGTGGTCCGGCTGTCACTCAGGAGGAGATAGGAAGGTCTAGCCTGAAGAGGGAAATGAAGGCAAGCCACTGCCCTGGTGCAGTTGAGCCGTGAGGACTGTTATGCTTCGAATATTAAGTTGTTCCTGGTGTGTTGAGCAGTGGCAGCAGTGTCATCTGGGAACTTGTTAGAAATACAGATTTTTGGGCCCCCACCCCAGACCTCGTGAATCAGAAACTCTGGGGTGGAACCTGGTAGTCCGATTTAACAAGCCCTTCAGGTGATTTTGATACCCACTGAAGTTTGAGGACCACTAGTCAGGAGGAGGTGATAATTACATTACCCTGTAAAAGGGAAACTTGTGTGTGTGTGTGTGTGTGTGTGTGTGTGTGTGTGTATATAGTAGGGGTGCTGTGTTCGGGTATCTTCTGACCACTTCCTTCAAAGACAGGCCTCATCGTATGCCTGGAGACATAAGGTGGAAAATCTCCATGTTAATGCCATTCTGTTATAAGCTAGTCTCTGCTAGAGAGAGAGAGAAAGCTTTTATAAAGACTTGATTTTTGGTTTGTTTAAATTCTTGTAGCAAAATCCACATTGGAACTTAAGAATAAGCTTTGAGCAAGAAGTTGGGATGAGGCTGTCTTATAACAATTAGATGCAGAGGAGAACTTTGTAGGTAAAATACCACATGCAAAGGAGCGTATAGCTTGTCCCACATCCCAGGAAACACCTGAACAGGACTTATCACTTAGCGGCACTTTGGCTGTGTCCCCCCGTCCCCCCAATCCTCCAGCATTATTTTGCATGGATTTTCTGCATTTCAGAATGTGTTTGATAATGGCCTCCATGTGAACAGTTAATTCTAAAACTGTTTGATTTACCGACAAACTGCTGCAGAGCTTGGTTTATACTGTGTGGTATATCTCAGGCACGTAATAGGCAAGCGCCTGTTCAGTTGCCTATAGTAGTGCGAGAGGAAGGCAAGAACCTCATGGAGCCCCACAGAAAATATGCTAGGAGAGGTAACTCAATGCCACGGAGAACATGCTAGAAGCAGATCAGAGAGGCTCTGCCTTGTGCACTAGCAGGGGTGTGAGGAGGTAGCATTTGCATGTCACAGTTCTTGATAACGGACAGCAGAGACTGACTCTAGATAACAGAAGTAAGAATGGAGCTGACTGGAAGGGGCTGAGGCTCTCAGGATTGAGGGCCTGGCCAGTGTGCTGCCAGGAGCCCATCTACACTGGACACTACTGGCTGCCAGCTGACGACGTGGCATTTTAGGCAGACCCACTGGATTCCTGCCACCCCATCCTGCTGGACTCAACTGCCCCCAGATACTCCCCAGTGGCCTTTGCATGCTGCTGAGCTGCTGGGTGGGGCATCACTAAGGAGGCCTGAACACTGGATGGTGGGGCGTGTAGTGCTGGACAGCTGATTGAGTGGTGTCCCCCACAGCTCTGTTGTTAACTTACAGGCAAGGCCTTGAAGGAAGGAAAGGGAACCTGCCTTCGATTTCCAAAACCAAGGACCCCTGGTCGCAGCCCACACGACTGCAAGAGCACTTGGGTGGGATCTAGTCCTCACTGGCCACTTCTTGGTCTTTAAGGAAAGCACTGTCTACACGTAGTTCTGAACTCTGTGTTCATTGTCTAAATGTTAGCAGTGAACACATGGAGAGAAGTCTAGTTCCTTTATGTATTTTTGTATCAAAGATCACAGTCCATTTGTTTTCACAGCTACAGCAAACTTAGCTACTTTTCATTGGGATGATAGCAACATCTTTAAGACGTATGGGACATCACTTCATGTGTACTTGTAATTAACATGATGTCAACTCTATCTACTTTCTCATAATTAAAAATATTGTAAAATTGTGGCCTCTTTCTATCCTCTCATATAGAGTACATCATTGCTTGCAGTAGATCTTACCATTTGTAGATGCAGGACTATGTTAAATACAAAGATGTGTACTGAAGCTTTGAGACAATGTGTGGATATTGCTATTTGGGATTTGAACTTTATCTTACATACTGACTTAACTACTCACACATGAAAAGTCAGTCCATTGACTGGTAGATAGCAAACATTTAACCTAGTGGGGTTTGGGGTCACCAGGGATCCTGTTGGTTAAGTTCCCTAGCCTGATTCATTCGTGTGGCTCTTCCTCTCTGGTCTACAGTTTAATGTCTGCGGCACGATGCCAGTCTGCGGGACCATCGAGGGAAAACCTGCTTCCGGCTGCGAGGCAGAAACCCAGACCGAAGAGCTGAAGAATCTGAAGCCGGCAAGGCCAGTCGGAGTCGAGAAAAGCCTCGAGCTGTCCACTGAGGGCTTCCTCACTCTGACTTACAAAGGACCCCCCTTTGCCACCAGAGGTAAGCTTGGAACCCTGCTGTTTTTTCTGGTGGTTCTGAGGCTGACTGACTTCATGTCTTTCTGGGTGGACACATCCACACCCTCTGACCACCCAGTCTGCGCCTTCCACCTTGCTGCAGGAGCCTCCTTGTTGCTCTTCTTGTTTTTGCCTCGCAGAATACAGGAGTCCCCTGTTATCCATGGTTTCGTTTTCTGTGGTCAAACGCAGTCCAAAATTATTGACATATTCTGAGAGACAGAGAGAGTGAGAGAGATACCACCTTTACATAACTATTATGATAATATATTGTTGTCATTGTTCTATTTTATTATTGTTAATCTCTTGCTGTGCCTAACTTATAAATTAAACTCCATCATCGGTATATATGAATAGCAAAAACATAGTATATCCAGAGTTCTCAGTTCCAGGCTTCCCCTGGGGGTCTTGGAAGGCATCGCCTCCGAGGAGAAGGGCGGCTCCTGCAGTCCATACTCAACACAGCAGCTGGTGATGTTTTTGAAGTGTTGCGTCATGTCACTTCCCAGCTTTGAGCCCCCCGGTGGCTCTGTATTACACCTGGAGTAGAAGCCCTCACTCTCCTGGTGACCACGGGGCACCCCTGGGGCTTTCTGTGATCACTCCTTGCTTCCTCTGCTCAGTCCCACAGCCCCCCTGTTTCTGAAGTGATAGAAGCCAATCTTGCCCTCGTTCCCTCCCAGGCTTTGTGCTTGCTGCCCGCTCTGCAGCCAGCATGCACGAGGGGGAGGATTTCTTCTGTTTCTTCACTCCTGTGTGTAGTAGGAACTTAGTATTTATCAGATGAGCTTGACATTGTTTTCAACATTTGGATTGACAAACCGTGTGGGATTTGAATATTTTCTGGAAGAGTAAGAATGCCAAAACATTAGGCTTGCGATATAAACCTGTCCTAACACAGGCCACTGTTGCAATAAATGTGACCACTCTGTGTTCACATGTAGTCCCTTGACACAGGCTGGCACCCCTGCCGCAATGGTTTCAGCATATAAATGGCTGTGTAGCTTGTCACCAATGGTGGTGGTGTCTTCCTGCTGCACTGTGTTTATGGGCAGCGGTGTGAAGACTGTTCTGTTTCTTGAAATCGGACCTTCCTGCTCCACAGGTTCCAATGATGCTTTCATCATCCGCTTTCTTTGCAATGATGACATCTACCCAGGAACCCCTAGATTCCTGCATCAAGACATCGACTCTGGGCGAGGGATCCGAAACACTTACTTTGAGTTTGAGACTGCGTTGGCCTGTGTTCCTTCTCCAGTGGACTGCCAAGTCACCGGTGAGGTGGAGAAGGGAGTATTTGTGTGTATATTTGTATGTGTGGAATGCATGTTTTGTTTTCTAGGCACCATGACATTTTTGTTACCAGTTTTCTTTGGATGATGCTTAGAATTTTAATGTTTCTCTTGAAGAGAATCTGGATATGTTAATTAATGGTTTTAAGCTATGTTTTGGATCAGATCCTGCTTGGGAACAAAGAAGAAAACTCAGAGAAAAAAATTAAACACTGCCAGGGCTTGCCTATCTGCCTTCCTTTCTCTCTCTCTCTCTTTCCCCCACACCTTTCTTTCAGAATTTCAGATCTCCATGTATATATACATATTTATTTATTTATTATTATTATTATTATTATTATTTTGAGATGGGGTCTTGCTCTGTCACGTAGTTTGGAGTGCAGTGACATGATTATAGCTCACTGTAGCCTCGAAGTCTTGGCCTTAAGTGATCCTTCTGCCTCAGCCTCCAAAGTGCTAGGATTACAGGCATGAGCCACTATGCCTATCTCCAGAGCTACTTATTTGAGGAAGAAAAAAAAGAAAAAGGCATTAAAACTCCATACGTCATACCCTGGAAGTTGAACAGTGTCCTAGGATACCCTTGGTCTCTATGGGCTTGGCCCTGCCACTTCCACAGTGATGGTGCTTCCTTGTGAATGGCAGGTCTTCAGGGTTTTGCTGTGTTGCCTAGTATGGCCTTGACCTCCTGAGCTCATGTGATCCTTCTGCCTTGGCCTCCTAGTAACTGGGATTACCAGTGTGCACCACCACGCCCTATTGTGAAGGGCAGTTTTGAGGGATGGAGAGGGTGTGTGATTCCATAGGCAAAACCTCTCTACCTCCTGTAGATTTTCTTATTGCTTATTGTTGGGAATATCAGGTTCACTCCTCTGCAGACTTTACTCAGCGTGAAAGGTGGTCTTTGGAGCTCACAAGATGGCAACGTGTTTTTGTTGTTGTTTCAGACACGGCTGGAAATGAGTATGATCTAAGTGGTTTAAGCACAGTCAGGAAGCCTTGGACCGCTGTCGACACCTCAGTTGATGGGAAGAAGAGGACGTTCTACTTGAGCGTTTGCAATCCTCTCCCATACATTCCTGGATGCCATGGTGCGTTGTGGCCAGTCTCTTCATATCTGCTCACTTGACTTAAGGTCAGCCTCCCTCCCTTCCCTTCTTCACCTCAAAACCACTTTTCCTGTCTTTCAGGCAGCGCAGTGGGATCCTGCTTGGTGTCAGAAGACAACAGCTGGAACCTAGGCGTGGTGCAAATCAGCCCTCAAGCTGCAGCGAATGGATCCCTGAGCATCGTGTATGTCAATGGGGACAAGTGTGGGAACCAGCGCTTCTCCACCAGGATAACATTCGAGTGTGCCCAGATATCGGTGCGTGTCAGATCTGCCATGATGGTTCTGTCTTTAGGTCATTTTATTTTCCATCTTTCTTTAACCTCCAGATCTTCCAGCCTATTTAAAACTTGCCTGTGCTTTTGTGGATTTTTGTCCATTGCTTAGGTTTGATGTGAATGTACTAATTTCCCCAGGTCTTAGATGTTAAATAAAGGCTGTCTATTTAGCTCATGGATATTAAAGATTGGATATTAATTGTGGCTATAATTTGATTAATTTTTAAAAATAAGTAAGTGGGAAGCAAAGCAAGCTGTTGACTTGTATTCTAGGGCTCGCCAACGTTTCAGCTTTTGGATGACTGTGAGTACGTGTTTGTCTGGAGAACTGTGGAAGCCTGTCCTGTTGTAAGAGTGGAAGGTGAGATCCCAGCCTATTAGTTATGGGTCATGGTAAATGGGTGAAGTAGCAGACGGTCCAAACAGCCTATCAAATATGAACCCTACGGTCATGGCCAACCGTGGGATCATAAGACCTTTATGAGGGAGCGGGCTCTTTCTTATCCTCGTGTTTTCTCTACTCTAGTTAATTGCTGATTTTACCGGTGACATTTTTGTTATGTGCCTGATGGATGTGTTTTTGGCATCTCACACATGAAAACCCTAACGTGGGGTTTTGTTGATGAAGCAGGTCTTTATCCTGGGACCTTAGGCTTTTCTAGAAAGCTGTTTGCTTGGCAATTTGTGTCATATATAAACACAATGAAATAATGTGGAAATGGTTTTTTGTTTTTTTTCTTAACTGAGAGTTCAAAGGGAAATGGCATTGAATGCACATTTTTAGGTGGTTCTTAGCTGATGAAAGATTGTGAAACTTCTAGAAGCTTGAAAGTGTGAATGCGTGCATGGTTGCAATTGCCTTCACCTCTCGTGTGTTCTTAAAGGGGACAACTGTGAGGTGAGAGACCCCAGACATGGCAACTTGTATGACCTGAAGCCTCTGGGTCTCAGTGATGTCACTGTGCGTGCTGGCGAGTACACCTATTACTTCCGCGTCTGTGGGAAGCTCTCTTCACCAGTCTGTCCCACCAGCGACAGGTCCAAGGTGGTCTCATCATGCCAGGAAAAGCGGGAGCCGCAGGGATTTCAAAAAGTGGCAGGTACCATTGTTTTTCTTTCTGCTTTTGTTGCAAAAGAATGGAATTAAAATGTTAATATTATGACAAAGATTACATTCCTCAGAGTAGGGAGAATGACTGTTTGGGTGAAATGACGTATTAATGTGATGTTTCTGATTTCACTTGATTTTAATAATTGGAATGCATGCTGGAGAATGTTGTATAAATAAATGAGTATTTTATTTTTATTTATCCACTTGAAGTTCATAGTTACCAACTCGTAGATCACAGTCCTTGTCTTTATTACAACATTGGGACACACTGATCTAGCTAGTAATGGGTGTTCTGAGGTGGTACTTTCTGAAATTAAGTCAGAGGGAATGCATTTAGTATGGGGTTTATTTGTAAAAGTTACAGGGCAGCCTGGTGGTCATCCATGCCATTTCAGCAGTGGGGCAAGATTTAAATAAGTTTGGGAACTTGTAAAAATGAAGTAGCGCGTGATGAGTTTGTGGGCTGCCATCAGGTGCCGTAGAGGTAATGCCCTCTTAGTGGATCAGGCTAAGGAGTATCGACCTGTCATTGTACCTATGGTTAGTCTGTCATATTGCAAACTTGAGCAAGAGTAGGCCTGGTTTTATTCTTCCTGAGTTTAATATGACAAGGAGTGTGTGATTCAATCCAGGAGGCCCAGGATACTTTGTCCTCTGTGCTTCAGGGTACATGGTGTGACATGTCTTAGGATAAGCTCAACACCCTAGGGACCTCTTGAACCAAACCTTGTGTAATGTGCTTCTTCTTGAACAGGTCTCCTTACTCAGAAGCTGACTTACGAAAACGGATTATTAAAAATGAACTACACTGGGGGGGACACTTGCCATAAGGTCTATCAGCGCTCAACGACCATCTTCTTCTACTGCGACCACAGCACTCAGAAGGTGAGCGTGTGCTGATGACTGGCCACAGAGTCTTCCGCATCTCTCGGGCCACTGTGGTCCTTGAACGATGCATCTGTCCTCAGAGCTCATACAGTCTCCTGGTTAACTTGGCTCAAAGTACGTGATTTACAGAAAGCATGTTGAAACTTCCAGCTTGTATAGATTTTAATGAACATAACCATTTCTTACTGTTCTCATCCTTAAAACTCAAAGTATAAATTAAGGTTTCTCACTCCCATTTTTATGTATGCCCATCTTATTTTTTTTAGCCAGTTTTTCTAAAGGAGACTTCGGATTGTTCCTACTTGTTTGAGTGGCGAACGCAGTATGCTTGCCCACCTTTCGATGTGACCGAGTGTTCATTCAAGTAAGTTGACGTATATATATGTTGTCTCTTTGGACAGGCTAAAGTGAGGAATCAGCTCAGGTTAACTCCCAGAACCCAGATCCTTCACAGCTTTGCGATTCTGTGATAATTTTGCATTCAGGTGCAAATAGGAAGGGATTGGAGCTGAAGCAGAGTGAAAGTCTTGCACACCTGTGTCATCTACGTGTCAGGAGGAGAGGGGCCAGTAGGGACAAAGAGGATACTGCAGTGACGGGGTGGGGAGGACCTTCATTGTGCATGAATTTACATGGAATTGTTCTTGGATTATTCTCGGAGCTCGACCAGACAGGCACCTTGGATCCCCTCCCTGGAAACTTTGGTCTTGTAGGTCTGCAGTTCTGCATTTTGGGGATGCTGACTGTTTTGTTATGTGATGAACCCTACCCGACACCATCCATGTATCACCACGTATTTTCCTAGGGAAGAATGCAGTAGTTTCTGTGTTTCTTCCGGTCTTTGTCCTCTTGTGTCATTTTTTGTTTGTTTGTTTGTTTGTTTTGAGTTGGAGTCTCACTCTGTCACCCAGACTGGAGTGCAGTGGCCGCTCCCGGCCACCGCAGCCTCAACCTACTGGGCTTCGGCGATCCTTCCGCGTCAGCCTTCCAAGTAGCTGGAACTATAGGCACACACTACCACGCCCGGCTAGTTTTTGATTTATTGTAGAGATAAGGTCTTGCCAAGTTGCCCAGGAGGGTCTCAAACCTGCGGACTCAGGCAATCCACTCACCTCAGCCTCCCAAAGGCACGGGATTACAGGTTGAGTCACCGAGCCCGGCTGTGTCATTGTTTTTAATGTAGGTATGTAATTTAAGTTTTAGTAATGTATGTAAATGCATGCACTTAGTAATTTATGTTTAGTTGCTTTACATCGTAATTTTAGTAACAACCTTTTCAGGTCAGGTTATGTACACATTTTCTCCCGAGGCAAATCTCTTTCTCATTCCTAGTGAATGTGAGATGTTCTGAGTAAATATCCCTGATTCACTTAGCTATTCTGCTGTGTTTGAGGCTGCCTTTGGTTTTTTGATATTTTTGTACATGGAATTAAAAAAAATTTTTTTTTGAGTTGGGTCCTCACTCTGTTGCTCAGGCTGGAGTGCATTGGCATAATCACTGCAACCTTGACCTCCTGGAGTCATGCAATCATTCCACCTCACCCTTCCGAGTGGCTGGAACTACAGGTGTGCACTGCCACACCCAGCTAATTTTTTGACTTTTTTTTTTTTTTTTTTTTTTTTTTGTAGAAATGAGGTCTTGCTATGTTGCCCAGGCGAGTCTCAAACTGCTGGGCTCAAACAGTCCTCCTGCCTTAGCTTCCCAAAGTGCTAGGGTTACTGGCATGTGCCATCACTCCCAGCAAGGAATAAAATTTTGATTTTCTTTGTACATAAGGCTTTTTTCCTAAAATATTTTAATGCTGTTTTAAAAAGTAGAATTAAGTCCAAGGAGAATTTCATAATTGATTACAGTAAAAGTTAATACATGCATATGGTAATTAGGACTACAAAAGTGTACGTAGCGAAATGCCTCTCCCTGGCCCGTCCCCTCACCTTAGCCTCCCCCCACTTTTCACTATATCTCGTAGTTCTTTTTGGAGCCTTCTGTCACTTTAAATGGCACATCTACCCATTTGTCAGTCTCCAGTGGTCTGTTGACTCTGTTTTTTTTTTTTTTTAATTTTTATTTTAAAGATGTGGGTACAATTCACGGTTAGGTATGCTAATGGTCATTTTACAGGTAAAAGTTTGGGCCTCACTTTGGTTCCCACCTGTTTTAAGAGCAGATACCCTTATTGATGAAGTATGCCCCCTCCCCCACCCCCGGCAGTTTCTTGCTACTACCAGTCCCTTTCTTATAGTATGATAATTGTTCAGGGTCTGCTTCTGAGTGAGGACATGTGGTACTCAGTTCTGTTTCTGTGATAGATCACTCAGTATTACACTCTAAATCTATCCAAGTTGCTGCACAGCTCATAATTTTGTCCTTCTTTATGGCTGTGTAATATTTCATCATGTATCATATACTTAAAAAAATATCCAGTCTACTTTCGATGAGCAGAACATGGTTGGTTCCATGTTTTTGCTATTGTGAATAGTACTGCAATAAACATGCGTGTCCAGGTATCTTTTAAAGGTTGCAAGGTGTAATTCACCAGTGCTGTTCTTGTCTCCTCTCGACCCTGGCCTGCATTTGTTAGTTCCATTTTTATTTCTTCTGCATGTTCCCTGTAGGACACTAGCTCGTGTGCTGTCAGCTCTATTTCTTGGTCATCACCTCAGGTGTCCGTCCCCATTCTGCTGCGTGTCCCTAGCTCGGCTCCTCCTCTCATGCCTATGGCTGTGCAGTGACCTCTCCAAGGTCTCCCTGCCTCTGCCCTTGCCACATCTTTGGTGAGTCCAGCACAGTCACTGGAATGGTCCTGTAAGGCACAAGTCCAGCCGTGTCACTCGGCAGTGACTACCATCTCATTTAGAACCACAGGCTGAAGTTCTTGCTGTACTTAAAGGCCCTGCTGACATCACTCTGGATTTTCTCTAACCTCTTGTTGACTCCAGCCACATCAGGCTCCTTGCTTTCCTTCGAGTGTGCCAGGTTCACCGTGCCTCAGGCCCTTTGCTCATGTGATTCCTCTGCCTAGAATGCTCTTCACTGGGTGCTGGGGTGGATCGTGTTTCCATTTCTCTCATAGTTTATTCAGAGGTCGCCTTTTCTGTCAAGCCTTCCCTGGCCAGTCTGTCTTCAGTTTCAACTTCTTTGCCTACCAGACTTCGTACCCCCCCTCACCTTTTTTTCTTCAGCCCTTTGCCATCTAATATGCTATACATTTTTTAAAAAGTATCCTATTCATAGTCTTTTTTCTCCACTGATGAGGTCTGTAAACTTTGTAAGATCAGCGATGTTTATCTGTCTTGTTAAATGCAGCACCCCCAACTTAGCATGTAATCTTGGGGTGAGTGGACAGTTCTCCTTCTCCTCTGAGAGCCATGGCCTCCTGATGAAGTGGCATCTGTAACTCCTTGCTGGCCTTCATGCTGGCCCTGGCGCTCTGCATAGGTACAGTGTGTTTGTTTGTCTTGTGCACCATTAACATGGTACCTGGGACGTGGTTGGTCTCAGTAACTGTCCATATGGGGATTTGTGTTATTAGTGAACCTTTAGTGGAACAGAAAGGTCAACACAAAGCCCAGTTTTATTTCAGTGATGCTGGTGACCTCATTTTCAGATAGCAGGTGGCTATCTGGCTGCTCCTGGGAGTGGCCATGCTGTGTATGCTCTGAGCATCTTGGCTGGCACCTTTGTCCCCAGCCAGCTCCACTTCTCAGTGACCTAAGCATGGACAGCGCTAACTTTTCAAACTTGGTTTTTTTTTGTCAGTACTTAATTTTGTTAAAGTAAATCTTGGAGTTTCTGAACTCAAAGTTGTGTTGTTGTTAGTTCTGACCAGATGTGAGAGAGACAGAGAGAGAGAGATATGGAGGGAGGGAGGGAGAGAGGGAGAAGACACATATACACACACAGAGACAGGAGAGAGAGAGAGCAGCAGCAGCAGAAGAGAGAGAAGAAAGAGACAGGAGAGAGTGAGAGAGAGACAGACAGAGGAGAGAGAAAGAGCAGCAGGAGAGAGAGAGGAGAAAGATACACACAGAGAGAGAGAGAGAGAGAGAGAGAGAGAGGCAGAAGAGAGAGCGAGAGAAAGAAAGAGGAAAGAGAGGGGGAAAGAAACACACAGGAGAGATAGGAGAGGGAGAGAGATAGGAGAGAGAGAGGGGAAAGAGAAACAGAAAAGAGAGAAAGACAAGCAGACAGAAAACAGAGAGCAGAGAGAGAGGAGAGACAGAGAGAGAGAGAGAGAGAGAGAGAGGCAGAAGAGAGCAAGAGAAAGAAAGGAAAGAGAGAGGGAGGGAAGAAACACACAGAGAAACAGAGAGAAAGAGAGAGAGAGGAGAGAGAAACAGATAGGAGAGATAGGAGAGAGAAAGAGGAGAAAGAGAGAGACAGAGAGAGAGAGCGATCGATCTAGTCTGGTCTGTCCCTGGGCAAGTTTTGATTCACGGATGTCAGGGTTGGACTGTACCTGAAATACTCACCATTTCAGAGAGTGCTCAGGATTTAACAAAAATATAGCTGAACTTCACTGCAGTGTTTTCTTCCCTTCAGAGATGGGGCTGGCAACTCCTTCGACCTCTCATCCCTGTCACGGTACAGTGACAACTGGGAAGCCATCACCGGGACAGGGGCCACCGAACACTATCTCATCAATGTTTGCAAGTCTCTGGCCCCACAGGCTGGCACTGGTGAGGGGGACTCTTTGTGGGGTAATGGCTTATAGTGAATTTATGGGGGAGGATGGCATGGGAAGGGGATTCTCTGGAGATGTTTTGCTCTTTGCAACGTGGAAGTGTTTTGGCAGGGGGAATTGTTTAACCCTTTTCCTGGTTGCCCAGAGAATACCTGCCAGTGGCACTTGAGGCTGCACATTTCTCTCGAGTAACTTGCTGCTGAGAGTCCTAAAGACCTCACCCCCAAAGTATCCACGAAATATTTTGATTTTATTATTATTTTTGCATCACTCTAATATGGTCTTTGGAAACAAATGACATCATTCTATTCATAGCATTCTGTTTTTAGTAGTGGTATTTCCATTTCCAAAATGTAGTAATCCTCTTCCTTTTTGGAGGGTAGTTCTTGTAAGGATCAGAGCCGCTTCCACTCTGGCTCCTCAGATGCTTAACCTGACAAGTCTGGGCTGAGTTTCTTGGCTGTTTAGAAATAACTCCAAGAACAGTTTTTATATTTTCACATTTGAAAACCAGTCAGATTTGCTTCTGCCTCAAAGAATGTGTTCATATAAAATCAAGTGAATGTGGTGTGAACTGTATTTTTTTTTTCTAAATGGGAAGTGGGTTAAGGGTCTTCACGACTGATCACTGGTATGGCCCAAGGTAGGTCAGTGCTGAGACCTCTGCAGGAAGCATTATAACCTTTTTTGAACATGAGAGATGGAGGTAGATAAAAATAGCAACAGAGGCTAGTAATGCTTCTCAGCAGGGTGGGAGATAGGAGGGTATGTGGAGTGGGGGTTCTGGTGTGTGCCCACTGTACTCATCAGGAGTTGTGTGGGTGTTCCTTTTGCGATGCAGAGGGTAGCTCGCTCAGACCCTTGGTGCCGGGGTGAGCCTAGAAGTCAGACTAGGAGTGTACATGAGGGACTAAGTTCCCAGTGATCTTGGTGCCACCATGGCCTCTCAGAATCTCTCATCCTCTGCATGGTTTGAGGCTGTGACCTGCTTTCCCCTGCTGTGCTGTGCTGGGAACACCCTGGCACTGTGGCTCTACCCCAGTGGCCTGGACTAGTTTTTTAACTGGGGCAGATGGCATGGATATTTCAGGTACTGGGAATGGGCAGAGTTCCTGGTGACTTCCTGAATAAAGAGTGTGTGCGTGCAGTCCATTTAAAGTGTTCCCTTGGCTTAATCTAGGAATTTTAGCTTCATTGTATGTGGGGTTCAGAAATAATTTAGACTGTTGCATCTTGGATACCCCACCCCACTCCATGCCTGCCCCCAGTCCATCTGTTAAAACAGCATTAAAATGCAAAGAAAGCAGCAGATAATTTGGAGTGACTGTTGGAACACAAAGTGTGTGCAGTTCTGTGGCATGTCTGGCATTACTTGCCAGCTGCGGTTCTGTCCTGGGACCACAGAGTCGCTGAAGGTAACTCTTGTGTCTTGTGCTGTAGAGCCATGCCCTCCAGAAGCGGCCGCGTGTCTGCTGAGTGGCTCCAAGCCCATGAACCTCGGCAGGGTGAGAGATGGGCCTCAGTGGACAGATGATGTCATTGTCCTGAAGTATGTCGACGGGGACTTATGTCCAGACCAGATTCGGAAGAAGTCAGCCACCATCCGCTTCACCTGCAGTGAGAAACAGGTGGTGAGTGTTAGAGCTTCTCAGCCCCTCCTGCCACAGCCTGGGGAGCAGTGAGGGTCTGAGGGTCAGTGGGACCAATGTCCTTCCTTTATCAGATGCGAGTTGTGGGGCTCAGGGTGACGCAGCTTTACGGAGATTGAGAGCAGTGTGTCCCTGGCCTGTAAGCTGGGGATCCCACTTCCACTCTGGCTTCTCAGATGCTTAACCTGGCAAGTCTGGGCTGAGTTTCTTGGCTGTTGTTAGAGTTTCATTGAGATCCCTCAAAGGCTGCAGAGACATGGCCATTTGATGATACGCCGTTTGTCTTCATGGGGGGCAGTGTGAGAGGTGAGAAGGCTGACTAGACCCAGGTCAGAGGTGATGCTTCCACGTCCTAGCCATGTAATGTGGTTAATTACCCAAGCACCCAACACCATTCACTCATGGGTAGCATGTCGTGTATCAGTCACGTCATTTGTGGGGTTTTGAGAGAAGAAGTGGGAAGTGGCAGGTGTCGTTTCTGCCCTATGGTAGATGCCCAGTCCTCTCTCCATGACCAATTCTTCCCCTCCTTGGTTGGCATGTACTGCGGTTAAGCAGATGTCACCACGTCAGTGTTTTCCATGTGAGACTGAGATAAAGCCCTGTATGCCAGTGTGTGATGAGGGCTGAGACTGAGGTTAGGCCTTAACTCAGGCCGGACCAGCCTGCTCAGTGGCAGGATGCTCGCCCCACGCTCCTCAGTGGTGTCACAGCATGGGTGGGAGAACCAGGGGCAAGGGGCAGGAGCTGGAGCTCTGGAGCAGCAGTGAGGTTTCCTCCTGGGAAGGAGGTGCCGTGCATAGCTCAGACTCCTGCTTAAGGGCTCTGGAGACCTGAGTCCCGGGGGCTTCTTGTCTCTGATTGAGCTGGAAGACTCATGGCCAGGACAAAAGGGCTGCTAGATGTGTGGGGGGGAAGGGTGAGGGTGCTCTCTGCCCCAAGCCTGAACGCCAGTGTGGCTAGACACCAATGTGGCTTGTCAGAGTGTGCTGCAGGGCTGTCCTGGGGCTGCTGAGCACATCTTAGCAACCCTGTGGTGGGCATGAAGTGTCCTGAGAGGAGCAAAGCAAGACCAGTGCCCATGAGAGGATTGGTAGGATTAACGACCCACTCCCTTGACAGGCCTTCTCTTTTGACCCTAAAGAGATTTCAGTTCCTTTGTTTTAGAATCTTACCATTATCTCCTCATCCGTGAGCATACTTTCCCCCCTGCCATTTGCCTCCCATCCTGTGCCTCAGCCTGAGGAACCTTCCTGGTCCCTGGTCAGCTTCTGGCTGTGCGTATCTTTCACTCACCAGCATGTGGAATCTGCGGTGGCAGCTCAGGACACATTTTGACCCTTTTCCTAGTCTGCAGCTCATCCCGTAAAGACACGGGCACGGAAATTCCTTGTGCTTGTGCATTTGTGCCCTTGGTGTAGGTTGAAACCATGATGAACATCAGACATGCACAACCCCTTGGGAACCACCTGTCTTTTCTTGTAGAACTCTAGGCCCATGTTCATCAGCGCTGTGGAGGACTGTGAGTACACCTTCTCCTGGCCCACGGCCGCGGCCTGTCCTGTGAGGAGCAATGTGCATGACGACTGCCAGGTCACTAACCCCAGTACAGGTGAGAAACAACACTGTCACCAAGCCAAGCTCGGTGGAGAGAGAGAGTACCATCTCTACACCCAGCTCAGGGGAGGGATGGCGCCTTCACAAACTGCAGCTCAGGGGAGGAACACCACACCCAGCTCAGGGGAGAGATGGTGCTCTCACCGAACCCAGCTCAGGGGGGAGAGGGTCCTGTCACCATGCCCTGCTCATAAGAGGGATGGTGCCCCCACAAACTCCAGCTCAGGAGGAATAGTGCCATCACCAAGCTCAGCTTGGAGGAGAGACCCAAGGAGAAACTGTGGCAACATTCACCCTGGGCAGAGGTGTCATGTATATGAGTACATTTGGCCTTTCTCTGGTTTGGCCTCTGTTTTCTCCTGGCTCTCCTTCAGTGGAGATGAGACCCCTCCCTGGAAGCCATGTACCTGTCATTCTGTGGTGTGAGAGGTGCTCCTGGCTGGGCTCACTGACAGTGCCAGCCCACCAGCTCTAGAGTCTCTGGAGCAGGTTAGAGTAAGTTCCTGGACTGCCTTGCAGAGTCAGCATGGATGGCCTGGAAAGGGGTGCAGGCAGTGCATCGGCAGTGGGGGGGATCCCTGGGGTTCTCTCCATACCCACAGGAATTCTAGTGGTTGCTGTGGTACAGCCCACAGGACAGAGGATGCTCTGAGCCATGGCGCTTTGGGGAGAGATGAGGCATCTCTTGAATTCGGAGTCTGATGGTCTCATGCTGCAGACCAGCTGATCCGAGCGTTTAGGGCCGTGCCGGTGAACAGACAGGGAGTTGCAGGGGACGCCAGGAGTCCTGATGCCACGTGTGTGAGCCCACTGGCAATGCGCTCCTGAGGCTGAGCTCCCGGGAGTCATTTCTTCTTTGTCCGACAGGACATCTGTTTGATCTGACTTCTTTGAGTGGCAGAGTGGGATTCACAGCCGCCTACAGTGAGAAGGGGCTCGTTTACATGAGCATCTGTGGGGAGAATGAAAACTGCTCTCCTGGCGTGGGTGAGTGCTGCGGCCCCTCGGGTGTTCTTACTCTCTCATCCCTGGGGTCCTCGGCCTGACCATGGGACAACAGCAGAAGGGGCGAGCAGAGCCAAGATCAGTTGCCTTCCTCTCCTCCTGCTGTCGGCGATATGGGGGCTGTGGGGCTGCGTGACAAGACATTAAATGTAAAGCAGGGGCCAGAGACGGACTGGACACTTGGAGTCATGAGTGTCAATTCTGAAGTTGATAGTCTGGATCTGCAGGAAGTTCTCATCAGAAAGCTGGCCATTGAGTCGTGTCTGTTTCCCCTCCCCTTTCTGCAGGGGCCTGCTTTGGACAGACCCGCATCAGTGTGGGCAAGGCCAGCAAGAGACTGAGCTACGTGGATCAGGTCTTACAGCTGGTGTACGAGGATGGGTCCCCCTGTCCCTCCAAGACTGGCCTGAGCTACAAGAGCGTGATCAGCTTCGTGTGCAGACCCGAGGCTGGGCCGACCAGCAGGCCCATGCTCATCTCACTGGACAAGCAGACCTGCACGCTCTTCTTCTCCTGGCACACACCGCTGGCCTGCGAGCAGGTGGTGAGTCCAGAGACGTTGTGGGGAATGCACCACCCGATGCCCGGCGGCACCCAGGCTCCTTTGCCGGTTTCACTTACCCCCAGTAGATACCCCGCCCACCCCATCCACTCCTGGCTGACCCATAATCAAGTGACCTGAAGTGCCCATTGCTGCATAACAAAGCATTTTGAGACATTAATCTGCCCTCAGTGCTTTTGGTTACTGTTCAGCTTTTACGTTCTTTTTTTTTTTATTTTTTTGAGTTGGAGTCTCACTCTGTCACTCAGACTGGAGTGCAGTGGCCACTCCTGGCCACCGCAGCCTCGACCTGCTGGGCTCCGTGATCCTTCCGCCTCAGCCTTCCAAGTAGCCGGAACTACAGGCATGTGCTACCACACCTGGCTGATTATTTTTTTTATTTATTGTGGAGATGAGGTCTCGCTGCCCAGGTGGGTCTTGAACCCGCGGGCTCAGGCAGTCCACTCACCTCAGCCTTCCAAAGGCGTGGGATTACAGGCTGAGCCACCGAGCCCGGAAGCTTTTACATTCTTATAGATGACTTGGTGGCAATTAGGAAAATATTTCTGTAGACTCACATGCAGTCTTTCTGTTTAACAGACAGAATGTACTGTGAGGAACGGAAGCTCTATTATTGACCTGTCCCCTCTCATCCATCGCACTGGTGGTTACGAAGCATATGATGAGAGTGAGGACGATGCCTCTGATACCAACCCTGACTTCTACATCAACATTTGCCAGCCACTAAACCCCATGCACGGGGTGCCTTGTCCTGCTGGAGCTGCCGTGTGCAAAGTTCCTGTCAGTGGCCCCCCCATAGTAAGTAGGGGAATTCTGAGGGTGGGGACAAATTTTGCAAGACTTTAGCAAGAACCTTCATGTTATGTTTCTTGCTTTTAATGGAGAGTTACTCAGGCAAAAGGAATGGAGAGATGTTCTGGGTGTACTATGGGAAGATGAAAGGGTGGAGCATTGAACCGTCTGCCAGTGATAGTAGTCAGGGTCTTTGAGCATGTGGGATAATGTGAACATATTTGTATAGATGTACTCTTGGTGTCATGCTAGGTGCCTTTGACCCGAATCAAGACAAGTGTCTAGGTAGAGTGGCAAGAAAGCACATTGGCCTAGCCTGGTTTCTTTGTCAAAATGCTTGTCTTGTATAATTGAAAGTTTATGAAATGCAAGCACTTTCTTGGGTAACAGGTTATACTTAAAGGCAAGAGCAGGTTTGCTAATAGCTAAAATACTCTGCCTTGAAAGTTTTGTTTTTACGCTAGCATTTTCAAATACAGATTTAGATCGGTGAAAATCATCTCCATGAGTTATAGTCCTATTTTGTCCAATCCTTGGTATGTTTTAGTACTTGAAATGCATTTCCAAAGTTGTCTATTGTGTATCTGTATTAAAAGATGAGTCTTCTTTTAAGATATCTGGATGTCCTTTTAAAAGGTGGACCTTATATGTGGTGTGGGTGCAGAGAAATGTCAGAGTGGGTAGGGAAATTGGGTACAGCAGGAATGTGACAGAGCTGCAGCTACGTGAGCAGCGGAGGCCTGGAAACATGGAGTCTTCCCAGGAAGTCTTTTGCAGCTAGTTGTGAATCATCTTCCGAGAGGTCCGATCTGCTGTATTTTCTTAGTTGGTCGCCCTTTGTCAGAGTCTAAAAACTGTAGTAAGTTATTTAATTGGAGAGGGTGTTGTGTCATGTGGTCTGAACATGCTCCACAGTGGTGGATGGAAAGCCCTGTAGCTGGGAACAGAATCATGGGAGGATACATATGCATACATGCGTGCACTCACACAGTCATCACCTACACCGTTACTGCCCATTCATCTTTTTTCGTTTATTTTTTGTTTAATTTCTAAATTGTTTTTCTTACAATACCCAGACTAGTCTGATCTTTCATTTGTTTGTTTAGTCACTCAATATTGTCAAACAGTCACTGTGTGACAGGTGCTGTGCTCAGCAATAAAAATGAACAGTGAACACTACCTGTCTCCTCCCTTGAGGACACAGCCACCCCAGGGTGGTGCTGGGCATTGAGAAGGCAGGGTGGCATGGGGTGGGGGCTATTTTTCGGGTTCCTGCCTTCCACTATCAGGTGAGGAGGGCCATGTCGCATTCCTGATACAACTAGAGAAAGGAGTTTCTGTTGCTTAGAATCTTTGAAAATTGAATATATGCAGAAACAGAACCGACCTTAGAACTCATCTTAGGATCCAAACTGGTAACCACCAATATTGCAGACATTTTTCTGTAGTATCTTAATGTCAAGACTTCTTAATTGACATGGTATTATTATTATTGGCCCAGTTTCTTTAGATGCTGCTCATTTTCAGAACTGATGAGGTCTGGTGTTTGCAGTCCTGTGTTAGCATTTATTCCACGAGCCTTGGGAAAAATTGATTTTCTTTTTTGCTGTTGCTCTTTGTTTAGGATATTGGCCGGGTCACAGGACCACCAATACTCAATCCAGTAGCAAATGAAATTTACTTGAATTTTGAAAGCAGTACTCCTTGCTTGGCGGACAAGCATTTCAACTACACCTCACTCATCGCGTTTCACTGTAAGAGAGGTGTGAGCATGGTAAGTGTGCCTGGGTGACAGTCTAGATGCTCAGGTGTGGGTAGTGAGCCAAGGCCAGACAACCAGGAAGCATTGCAGGTCCAGGGATACCCTTGTTCAGAACGTCTGCCTTGGATAATACAAGACATCAGTGTGTCTGAACAGTTTAAGTCATTCTTTGAGGACTGAGCAAACTTACCCTGAGTTACCAGCACACAGAGGCTTGCTATACTTTAAAAACCTGCAACACTTGAGTACAGAAATGATACTCAGCTTTGATTACTGATGTGAAAGTGTCATCACTTTTTAAAAAAAAAAAATATTGGGTTACCAATTTTATTCTTAATGGTAAATCAGACAGGCTTTGGGGCAGCTGTAATCATTGAAGATGTAGCCCACAATTCAGAAGTTAGCAAATAACAAAAGACCTCTGGAATCAATAGCTGAAACAAAGTGTTAATTTCTATTTTTTGTGCATTTCAAAAATAATACCGGTTTCCATCATAATGCATACCATTTTGTTATAAAGAGCTTTTGTGTACATCTTTTTCTTGACCCTCCCTGTGAATTGGGGATAAATTGGTGGATCATGGCCCCCATTCTGCAGGGACTTGGAGTGGCCCTGCAGGGGCTACTGTGTCTGGCCTGCTGTGCAGGTGACAGCCCTTTGCTCCAGGAAGCACAGCTCCACAGCCCCTCGTCTGTGCTTCTGGAATCTGTGAAGCTCTGCACACTTGTGACACCTTTGATATGAATGGACTGAGGCTATCAATGGTATTTGTCCTATTGTATGTGAATATTCATACATCTTGCTATAGAAATAGTAACATGCTTGATTACAGTATCTGGGGTGTGTATGTGTACATATGTACATCGTGTAATAGAAATAAATATCCTGAATTGCCTCATAAAGTCCTAAATAAACATGAATTCCAAGGCTTATGACCCCAAGGAGTCCGGGTGCTGGAACAGTATCTACAGTGTGTTACTTCTGATAAAGGTGGCTTCCTGATGTTTTGGACTGGAGCAGGTTTGTAGTGGGACTGCCAGTCATGGGATGGTGGCAGGAATGACCTGGCAGCTGCCTGCCAGGAGGAGAGTGTAGTAATTGAGAGAGTAGAGAATCACCCCTCTGCCATCTGGGACTGCTCCACGGAGGCCCAGAGCACCTCGAAGGCCTTGGATGTGTCCCTGTCCATGAATTCTTGAGTGTGATGACAATTCTGAATTATCAAGGAGGGTGAAGCTATATTCAGTCACCTCCATTCATCTGCTTATGTCTGTATATTTCTTTTTCTTTCTTTCTTTTTTTTTTTGAGTAGGAGTTTCACTCTGTAACCTAGGCTGGAGTGCAGTGGCACGCTCACAGCTACTGCAGCCTTGACCTGCTGGGCTCGGGCAATCCTTCTGCCTCAGCCTTCCAAGTAGCTGGAATTATAGGCAGGCGCCACCGTGCCCGGTTATTTTATTTTATTTTATTTTTATTGTAGAGATGAGATCTCGCTAAGTTGCCTAGGTTGATCTCGAACCCCTGCACTCAGGCAGTCCTCTCACCTCAGCCTCCTAAAGTGCTGGGATTACAGGCTTGAGCCACTGTGCCCTGCCATGTCTGTATATTTCATGGGTGTGTCTACATCTGCCTCTGGCCACACAGTGTAGGGCAGCATGGACTTCACCTTGAGAGGGATATTTGTTTTCTATAGCATTTCATTTTTTATTTATTTGTTTGAGTTGGGGTCTTACTCTGTTGTCCAGGCTGAAATGCAGTGGTACTATCACAGCTCACTGCAGCCTCAACCTCCTGGACTTAGGTGATCTTTCCATCTCTGCTTCCCGAATAGCTGGGACTACTGTAGCCTGTCTAATTTTTTTTATTTTTGCATAGACGAGGTCTTGCTATGTTGCCCGGGCTGGTCTTGAACTCCTGTCCTTGATCCTTCCACCTTGGCCTCCCAAAGTACTGGGGTTACAGTTGTGAGCCACCATGCTTGGCCTAGAACTTCATTCTTTAAAGCAGGGTCTTCAGTTTTCTCTAAGCCCTACCTCTTAATGAGTGACACTTATCTCACACTATCAGAGTATGGAACTGGGCTTAGCTCTCATGCTGCTGCCAACTTGATGGATCAAATCAGCCAGTGTAATTTTAGGTAATTCCCAGCAGTTGCACATTAGGAGTGATCAGTGTTTACTTGTGTTTAGAAATGAGGCTTTTCATGCTGAATGTACATTCTAGTTTCAGAAAGATTAAAGAGATTTTCCTTCCCGGCAATTTTCATCTTCAATGGAAGTTTTTTTTACCATTTGAATCACAGAAAAAAAAACTCCTAGCAGCAATTAAACACGGAATTTCCTGACCAGCAGCCTGATCTGTTTGTGTTGCTGTTCAATGAGGAAGGGATAAACACATTGACTCAAGAATACTTTGCCCGTAGATGTCTGGCTGTGTGGCATTCTGCCGCATTTCTGAACATCCCGTTTCTAGAAGTGGTGGTGTGTTTGTTGAAGCCCCTGCTTGTTCCCTTACAAGACAGGGTCTCAGATTCACGGACTTCTCTTTGGTGACATAGAAAGCCCTCTATCTTTCTCTCTTTGAATCTGTGGCTGAAAACACCAAGGCTTTCTCTGACCCCCCTACCCCCGCCCCCATCAGAGGATGATGACCTTGAGTTAGCCAGGGAGCTCCAGGGGGCTGTGGGAACCAGGGCAAGGGGTGCTATTCGTCCTCAAGGACAGCATTGGGTCCTTCGGCCACTGCTGTCAAGTGTCCCTCCACCGAGAAAGGCTGCTGTGGGCTATACAGAGTCCCTGTGGGACTGCTGTTCCTCCGCCATGGGGTTCTTAAGACCTGTGCTCTTCTTGACAACAGGGAACGCCAAAGCTGCTGAGAACCAGTGAGTGCGACTTCGTGTTTGAGTGGGAGACACCAATCGTGTGTCCTGACGAAGTGAGGACCGAGGGCTGTGCCCTGACGGATGAGCAGCTGCTCTACAGCTTCAACCTGTCTAGCCTGTCCAGGAGCACCTTCAAGGTGAGGCACCTGCCTCAGTCTCGTGGTACAGGTGTGCTGGGCACCCCCTGCAATTTGTCACTGCCAGCCACAAAGCCGTCTAGAGTATGTTAGGTCCTGTGACATCTGTGATCCTTGGATAGTGTGTGACCATGTGGCAGCACATGGAGGGATGGCATGTATGTGACGTGTACAGGATCAGCATGTCAGGAAGATTCTGGACTGTGGTCAATCTAAGTGCGGCCAACACTTGTGCTATGTCTCACGGGCCAGGGTGTTTCTGCACTTAGGCCTCTGTGAGGATCACGTAACCCTATGAGGTGGGCAGTGGGATGCTTTGATCAGACAGAGGCCAGGCGACTTGGAGGCACAGATATGACCTACATCCATAGGGGCAGGGGTCCAGTCTCGTGTGGTGGCCGAAATTAACAGCGAACTGATTCCTCTTTTTCCCCAGTCTGACTGGAAGTTAGAGGCAATTGTTTGCCGGCCATAGAGGCAGTGGGTGGAGAGAGTAGGGAGGTGCTCCCAACTCGAGAAGCATGTGGATGTGTGACACGATGGCATGCTGGAGCCCCTGGGCCATGTGTTTGGGGACTGTTGGTCATGTTGATGAGATGGTCACAGTGTCTGCAAAACCCCCACTAAGCCTGGGGATCTAGATGTTGCCAAGTCATGCCAGTGTCTGGACAGGCCACAGGACCTTGGCACCTGCCTGGGCACAGCAGCTGGTGTGTGGTGAGCTCTGGGTTTTGGGCTCAGGTGCTGATGCCCTGGCTTCTATGATAGAGCGCAGCAGGTTTGAGCCTGCAGGGGGCAGTGGACAAGGGAATGAGGGCCAAATGTCATTGTACAGTGTCTGATCCTTGCGTTAACCCACTTAGTCCTTACCACCTCGCATTTCACAGGTGAGGGACGTGGACTCCAGGGAGGGGGGGTAAGCCTGAGGTCCCACCACTGTCCCTTCCCACTGCCTTCTGGCTGGAGACCGCAGCAGTGGGCTGCCTTAGCCACTGGGAAGGGGCCTAGAAGGTCAGGAAAGCTGGGCCTGGGTTGGAGGGAGGTAGGAGGCACCCTCTGGGGGAGGGCCCAGGGCCTGGAGAGTGGGAGGGCGGGCATGTGGGTGTGTGACTCTGGTGCTCATAGGAGCCTCTGCATCTCCACAAATCCATCCTGTGCGAGCTTCAATGGTGGTTCTCTCTTTATAAGCTGGAGACACAGGTGCTGCCACTCTTCTCACAGCCACACATGGTGTCTTGTCTGTCCAGGTGACTCGAGACTTGCGCACGTACAGTGTGGGGGTGTGCACCACAGCCGCCGGGCCAGACCAAGGAGGCTGCAAGGATGGGGGCGTCTGTCTGCTCTCAGGCAGCAAGGGGGCATCATTTGGCCGGCTGGCGTCAATGAGGCTGGATTACAGGCACCAGGATGAAGCAGTCATTTTGAGTTATGTGAATGGTGACACTTGCCCTCCAGGTGAGTATTTGCAACAGGGTAAATTTTAAGTTCCTAGTAAACATGAAGTTAGATTTAGCAACAGAAAAATAGAGAATGAAGCCCAGAGCTCTATGAGTGCTGGAACCTTGGACTTGAATTTGAAACATTCTGTTGTAACCCTCCTGGATGTGGATGCTCGTGTTTGAATCACACTATGTTCTCTCCTTTGCTTGTTTCATTTTGGCGGGTGAATCCTGGTTGTTACATGAATGGTTTTGGAGGGACAGCGTCCTCAGGACTCCTGGCATCTTCCTAGGTGCTCATGCCTGATGAGGGACAGCTGACATCATCCTGGTCATCTGGATTATTCAGGTGTTCTTCTTCTTTCCAGAAACTGATGACGGCGACCCTTGTGTCTTCCCCTTCACATTCAATGGGAAGAGCTACGAGGAGTGTGTCATAGAGGGAAGGGCGAAGCTTTGGTGTAGTAAGACGGCGGACTACGACCGGGACCACGAGTGGGGGTTTTGCAGACACTGTGAGTAGGAGAGCTCCGTGTGTCAGTGCGGCCCAGTGCCATGGACCCTGGGTGCTCTCATGGCTCGATTCATAATCTTTTGTGGATGTCCCAGTCTGTGGCAGGAATTTTGTTGCATCAGATGTTTTCTTGTTAGGGCTGTTTACCACAGGAAAATGTGATCGCTCTATGGTTCATTTGGTAACCGTATGTGTAGACTATGGCAGAGCTGTGTGGAGATGCAGCCACCAGCTGGGAGGACATCATGTCCACTCACAGGTTTTCAGCTCTGTGATCCAAATTATGCTTTGGCAACTGACTGCCTGTTGTGGGTCTTCAGGGTGACTAGTGAGCTTTCAGGAGGCCCAAGGACTCATTCATTGACTTTCTGGTGTGTGGCACGTGCAGGAAGAGGGCCAGGGGCTTTCATGGTGAGTCATGCTCTTGCTATATGGAGAGGCTAGTGTCGTGAGGTGAGTCTCTTAACGTGACACGCGTTCCCAAAGAGAGCAAGATGAGACAAAGGCATGGAAAATTGTATAATTCTCGTAAATGACCAGTAAACAAAATGGGGCATGTTAAAGGACCCTAGGTGATAGATTTACAAGGGACTACTGTAGCTTGTTGAGGTTTATTTTGTCAAAACATTATTCCCAATTCCTTGACTGTCATTCAGGTTTTTAAGTAGCTCTAAGTAGTGTTATGTTAGTTTTGGTGCTCATGAGTACCGTGGTCACGGAGTAAATTCCAGTCTACAAGCGACTGCACCAGGTCTGTGGGGTTAGAAGTACTGTGAGAGACTGTGCCCGAGGGAGCTTGGTCTATTTGGAGTCAGGATATGTATGCATGGAACAAAAGGAGATGTGGTCAGGGCAGCTGTGGGGTGTGGCCAGATGATGGACAGAGTGGGCAATTGCTCCAAGGTCGTGTGGGAGGGTGCGGTGCAAGCGTAAGCCCGATCATGGGCCCTGGACTGACCATGTTCATGCCTGCTGCTCCTCAGCAACTAGCCACCGGATGTCTGCCATTATATTTAAGTGCGACGAAGATGAGGACATTGGGAGGCCACAGGTCTTGAGTGAAGTCCGTGGGTGTGAGGTGACATTTGAGTGGAAGACAAAGGTGGTCTGCCCTCCAAAGAAGATGGAGTGCAAGTTCATCCAGAAGCACAAAACCTATGATTTACGGCTGCTGTCCTCCCTCACTGGGTCCTGGTCCCTGGTCCATGAAGAAGCCTGGTAAGTCCCTTCCCCATCGCCCAGTGTGGCGGTACTCTCTGCATGCGGGAACTTGAGATTGCTGGATGGTGGTTGGCTCCCCATGTTTCCAAAGATGGGAATGCCTCATACACGGTATGGTGGTTTCCTTGCGACTGTGTCCCTGGGAAGCAGTCACAGTGTCCGTCCTGATGCTTGAGGGTGGTTGTGAGGTCAGAGCTGAGGAGAGGAGTTCTGGTGGGTAGAAATGGAGCCCTCAGAGCAGGAAGCTGGGCTGGTTGTGTTAGGCTGGGTCTGACTTGTGTTTGTCCGTTGCTCGAGTCTTGGGAGGTGTGTTGGCTTTCTCAGGTCATTGACGAGAACTAGGCTTTTCTGGTTGGCTTGGATCATCATTCTGACCACTCCACGAGTGGAGTCCTACTCAGCCAGGCACGCCCACGAGTCCTCACTGCAGAGTAAAGACATGAACTTGGAGAGTTTGAGTGACTTTAAGTAAAGTGGGCGCCAGGCGCAGTGGCTCAAGCCAGTGATCTCTGCACTTTGAGAGGCCGTGGTGAGAGGATTGCCTGAGCCCCAGAGTTCGAGACCAGCTCGGGCAACTTAGCGAGACCTCATCTCTACAATAAATCAAAAAATTAGCCAGGCATGGTAGCACACCTGTAGTTCCCAGCTACTTGGAAGGCTGAGGTGGAAGAATCGCCGGAGCCCGGCAGGTTGATGCTGGGGTAGCCATGAGCATGCCACTGCACTGCAGCTTGGGCATTGGAGTGATACTCCAACTCAAAAAACAAAAAAAAAGTAAGGTGGGCAACTTCCCAGGACTTGAGCCCCTGTCCATCCGAGCTCCAGAGGCTGCTTTCTGCTCTGCCATGCTGTGTCCTGGGTGGCCTTTGTGTGGTGTCCCACTCCTGGAGCTCGCCTGGTTGGCGAGCTCTCTTTCTCAGTGACTGCTTAATTTTTGACGTTTTGTTTACTGGAAAAGCTATACTTGTACTGGGATCAATGATGGAATGGAGCGCTTAGTTATCAGAATGGTTACTTTTCCCCACTGAGTTTGTTAGGGCAGACTTAACTTGCATTCCTCTCTCTGCATCATTTTATAGGTACTATATAAATCTGTGCCAGAAGATATACAAGGGGCCCCTTGACTGTTCTGATAGAGCTAGCGTTTGCAGAAGGAGCCCAACTGGGAGAGTCCAGGTCCTGGGACTGGTTCACACACAGAAGCTGGATGTCATAGGTAAGACCTTTGGATCCTGTTGTTTGGTTCAAGAAGCTGGGTCTGCACCGGGAAGGCCAGGGTGTTTATAGTGTGACAGAGAATGTCAGTATGTGCTTTAGTGGAAGCCTCCTGAGACTGTTCTTCATGACTGTCTCAGGCATTTCAGCAACTCCCAGAACATTCAAATAAGTGCCACTTTGTATTATCTGAGACTACAGGCCCCAGTCTGTGCACTTAGAGAAGGGTTCGACTGTCTTGGGAAGATGCTTCTCTCCAGGAGGACGTTGGAATGTTCAGAGTTCCTCTGAGGTTCACGTTCTAGCTGTAGACCAAGAACCAAAACAGCCATGTTGTAAGTGTTCATTTAGGAAAGCTAGACAGCTGTACAGGGACTCAGTAAAGAGAATTTAGGGGTGCATTTTTTAGCATTTTAATAATTTTGAAAATAATAATGATGCTTTTTAATGGTTTTTGTAGGAAATTCATCTTGCAATTGGTTGCTGAGTGAAAAATGTTCTCTTTTAGTATTTAAAGTCGGAAAATAGAGCTTTCTTAGTTTAAGAACAACTGGGATGTCTTCGAGGGACTAGAAAAGGAAAGAATTCACCTTTGCCTATCAGGCTGGAATAGGATTACCCGAGTTATCCTGATGAGACCATAGGATGATTGAGGCTTAGCTGGAAATGTTGAAGTAGAGAAAGGGAAACCACTGTCACCTTGATGACAGTCATACTCAGATTCTGGAGTGTATAGTTGAGGGACAGTTGCATTCAGGAAGGAGCGCCCAGGCCTCTGGCCCAAGGCACGCCCTGCCTGAGGGTTTTACTGCTTAGGAGGTACGTTACTGCTGCTACTTCCACATTGCCCCTCTGGGATAGTTGTCCCCCCAGCTCCCAACCTGCTGAAAAGGCTGAAATATTTAAGGCTTCATGAAAAGTTTAAGACAGGGGAAATGAAAGAGAATCGTGAATGCAGTGAGTGACATGGACCTAGATCATCTGACTCTTTAGTGGTGACTTGCTGGCTACCCTCCCTCTGGTGGGTGCCGTCTTGCAGGTCAGGCTGGTCCCAGTGGGGGAGTCCCTGCTTTCTCCTGGGACCTGGCATTCAGCCTGACGACTAGATTGAAAAATAATCTCCTGATGTCTGACATACCAGGTGGGATCTTGCCCTTTGGCTCTAACAGTACTTTGTAAGGACAACCATGGTGACTCCACGTTCATTTAGGGAATGCACCCCTAAGGGTGTGGGAGGTGGACGTTTTGTTACAGGAGCTAATGCTTATCAAGCAGTGGTGCTTTATGTATCCTTAATCCCCAGCAACTGAAATGGATAGTTGGTGTCCATTTCACAGATGAGGCAACTTGAAGGAAACCAGAATATAAGCTGACAAGTTCCTTATATTCTTTGGCTTTTGTTCAAGGAACTCAGCCTACATTTCCTTTGTCTCCCCTGACCTTTTGGTTTCATTTCTATGGATAGCCAAGCGGCACCAAGTCTGGCCTGGAACCTGCTCATCCTAAGTGATTGCCTTGCTTAGCATAGATGGTAAGATAGTGGACCTTGAACATTCAATGTAATACTATAAGAAAATGACTAACCGGGCTCAGTGGCTCAGCCTGTAATCCCGCGTCTTTGGGTGGCTGAGGTGAGTGGATTGCCTGAGCCCGCAGGTTCGAGACCCACCTGGGCAACTTGGTGAGACCTCATCTCTA